TGCTCCCAGTTCGGGGCAGTTATGAATAAAGATGCTATAAATGTGTGCCCAAAATAACTGAGTCTTAAAACTGGACAATAAATAAAACCCCAACTTAAAAATGGGTGACATCTCCCCAAAGCAGATATGCAGATGGCAATTTATATATGCAAATGAGCATGAGAAAATGCTAAATATCAGATATCACTAAGGAATTGAAAATAAAACATGGACTATCTCTTCGTTTATTTAGATCCTTGATTTTTTTCATCAACATTTTGTAGTTTTCTTCAAATAGAATTTGTACATATTTTTGTTGGATTTATACCTAAAGTACTTCATGGTTTTGGTAATAAAGTAAATGGTGTTGTGTGTTTTCTGTTAATCCTCACCTGAGTATATTTTTTCCATTAATTTTTAGAGAGTTAAAGCGTGGGAGGGAAGGGTCAACCTTGAGGGGAGAATATCAATGTGAGAAAGACACATCAATTGGTTGCTTCCTGCACATGCCCTGACCAGGGCTGGGGATTGAACCTGTAACACAGGCATGTGTCCTTATCCAGGAATCGAACCTGTGACCCTTCAGTGCACAGCCTGATGCTCTAACCACTTTGCATGCTGGCCAGGGCAATGGTGTTGTGTTTCAAATTCCAGTTGTTCATTGCTGGTATATAGGAAAGCAAGTGACTTTTAAATATTAACCTGTATCCTGCAACCTTGCTAAACTGCTTATTAATTCCAGGATTTATGGTGTAGATTCTTCGGAATTTTCTGCGTAGGTACATACACATTAAGGATTGTTGTGTCTTCTTGTCCCTTTATCAGTATACTAGAGGCCAATGCACGGATTCATGCACTGGTGGGGTCCCTAGGGCTGGCCTGCAGGGATCGGGCCCAAACCGGCTCTCTGATATCCCGATGGGTCCCGGATTGCGAGAGGGCACAGGCCGAGGGACCCACTGGTGCGTGATTGAGGCCTGGGAGGTACCATGGGAGGGCTCCAGAGTATGTCCAGCCCTTCTCTCCCAGTCCTGATTGGCTGGACCCCAGCAGCAAGCTAACTTAGCAGTTGGAGCATCTGTCCCCTTGTGGTCAGTACACATCATAGCAACTGGCCGACTGTCTGCCCCCTGGTGGTCAGAGCACATCATAGTGAACTGTTGAGTGGCCTTAGCAAATCATTAACATATTATACTTTGGTTAAACGGCCACTGTCTGGGGTCTTTTTCTCCTGGGGAAATGTCATCACATCAGGACCCATCATTAGATAAATTCTGACAAGCTTTTAAGCAGCAATAGAAATAATTGATCACGTGGGGAGAATTTATTGTACATCAAGATTTTTTTAAAAGGCAGTCATTAAACTTTTCTGTTTGGCATGATGTCAATTTTGTTTAAATGTCTTAAAAAAACTGTAAGCAACTTTTTTTAAAGACTGGAAGGCTGGGAACGAGTGTTGTCAGTTCCTGCCTCCTGGGGATGGGGCCCTACACCAGCGGTCGGCAAACTCATTAGTCCACAGAGCCAAACATCAACAGTACGATTGAAATTTCTTTTGAGAAAATTTTTTAAAATATTTTTTATTGATTTTTTACAGAGAGGAAGGGAGAGAGATAGAGAGCTAGAAACGTCGATGAGAGAGAAACATCGACCAACTGTCTCTTGCACACACCCCATCGGGGATGTGCCCGCAACCAATGTACATGCCCTTGACCGGAATCGAACCTGGGACCCTTCAGTCCGCAGACCGATGCTCTACCACTGAGCCAAACCGGCTTCGGTGAGAGCCAAAATTTTTAAACTTAAACTTCTTCTAATGCTACTTCTTCAATATAGACTCGCCCAGGCCGTGGTATTTTGTGGAAGAGCCACACTCAAGGGGCCAAAGAGCCGCATGTGGCAGCGGTTTGCCGACCACTGCCCTAAATGATTCTAATGTCGTCTGTGCATTGCTCTGGTTCTCGTTTCCTGCAATATTAGGAAAAACGTTATCCTAAAAATGAACAGAACGAACGGACAGACAGTTCTGACAAAACCTCCCTTGACCTTAGCTTACCCCATTCCATGAACTTGGCATTTTCTTGGCAAGAAAATGAACAGTTGTCACTAGCCGGCTGACCCTCTGGTCTGTGTGTGGGCCGGTTCTGCTTCCGGTCCCGCCATTTGCAGCGAACAGAGCACACCTGTGTGGAGCCGGGAACTAGGAAGTGGCGGTTCTCTGGCCACGCGTGTGCCTGTCCATTCGGACCCCTCCCCCCCCCAGGTTCCCTTTGCCTCTGTGCTGCCTGACGCCCACCCAACAAGCGCGGGCACCTGCCTGGGTCTGGAGTGGAGAGAGCACGTATCCCAGCTTCCCCTGCGCGCGCTGTGTGGCCCTGGGCAGGTCACTGAACCTCTCTGACCCTCAGCATCTGCATTTAAGAATGAGTATTGTTGTGACCAGCCAGGCAGGCGCCCGGGGGCACTTGCCAGCCCCCATCTCCTGTCCTGTCCTCCCGGCCCTCACTGCCCTGCTTTTCAGTCTAAGGACATCGACAACCACCACGCGCTCATCGAATACGATGAGGCCGAGGGCAGCTTCGTTCTCCAGGACTTCAATTCCCGCAGCGGCACCTTCGTCAACGACTGCCACATCCAGAACGTGGCCGTGAGGCTGCTGCCCGGGGACCTCCTGAGGTTCGGGTCCGGGGAGCTGATCTACGAACTCGTCACGGAGAACCAGCCTCCCCCGGTGAGTCCCGGGGGTCAGGAGCGTGTTGGGGGGCAGGAGGGGGTGGGCAGAGGGCGAGGCTCAGGCGGAGCCGGCCCTGAGCGCGTGGCTGATGCCAAGCTGCACAGACAAGTGGCAGCGGGGACGGGAGTGGGTCCCAGGAGGAGCGGGTCCTCGTGCCCTCTTTTGGGCATTGGGTGGAATCACAGGCAAGAGGTTCCCAGTGGCCAACGCACAACTCCTGGCGTTTTATTATTTTTTTAGATTTGTTTCTCAGCAGCCACGTTGGCATTTACCCCTCCTCACTTTCGGCCCATTCGTTCAATACGTCTTCATCAAACCAAGGGGAGAATGGTTTGATTATAGCAAGTCGGCCCCCGAGGAGGCTGGGGAGGGACGGGGAGGACAGCGAAGGCAGGGGCAGCGTCTGAGAGGGAAGGAGGGAAGGGAGCACAGGGCGGAGGCCGAGACGCTGACATGAAGAGATTCGCTCTCCACGCCTCACGGGAAACACGGGGTAACGAGAGCGCTCCCCTGAGGGCTGCTGTGAGGAGCAGAGAGGGGAGTGCGGTGATGAGGACACACCATGGCACGCACTGCTGGCCCCCTTAGCCACGGGGTGTGGGGAGCAAACACCGCTGAGCACTAAGCCGAGACGGAGCCCGGAGTCAGCTCCTCTGCCTGGCACTGGCTACCCCCCCTTCCCAGTTAGATGGACGCTGTGCTCTCTGCCCTATGTAGCTACAAACATGCCCCCACCCTCCCCGGTTCGACAAAGAGGTTTCCAGGCGAGATCTCTACGGAGCCTCTGCCCAGAAGTGGTGGGTGTTGAGGGTCAAAGGTTAAGAGACAGTCGGGGTCCCTGCCACCTCGGCTTGCAGGGGAGGATGGATCAGGGATGCCGGAGACACCCCGGGCCGATGGAGGGAAAGCAGGGCTGGGGTCTCAGCCAGCCGGCTGGGTCTCAGTGCTCTGCTCACCATTCCCCCAGCCCTGTGGGCGGCAGGCGTGTCCCAGATGCTGAGGCCGCAGGGTGAGCGAACAGACCCGGAGCCCTGACCCTCTCAGAGGTGCCGGCCCGCCAGCTGGCAGCGCACGGGCAAACCTCGCAGCTGGGGGACGAGCTTCAGCCTCAGCACGGAGGTCAGGTGCATTCAGTGGGGTCCCGTGGGGACCCCTTGGGAAGGTGCCCGGCAGGAAGGCCACGCCCATCAGTAGCGGTACAGCCGTGTGCAGTGTGACACGCAGTGGGGAGAGTCAGGGAGGGCTTCCTGGGGGAAGTGACTCACAAGCCGAGGCCTCGGGCTGCCGGGATGTGGCCGGGACAAGAGGCGGGGGCCGCCCCCCTCATCCTGACCCTCCTGCCACCCCTGCAGGTCTCCTTCCCGTGGATGGGGGGCGCGGCCCGCTGGCCAAGAGCACAGCCGCCTGGGTTCGCAGAGCAGCCGGCCCACTCGCCTTTGCCGCCACAGATGCCCTTCCAGCCGGGCGTCCAGCCAGCGCCAGCGCACAAGAACTGGTCCCAGGCCTTCCCCAGGCCGACCACGGCCCCGCCGGCCTGCCACAGGCGGCCCATGAGCGCCTGCGGGAAGATGTTCTCCTTCGTGGTGGAGGGCGCCCCCCAGGCTCCAGTCATCAAGCAAGGTGCGTGCGGGCACGCCCCCTGGCGGCTCCCGCTGGGCTTGCAGCCATGAGGATGGGTCTTGCTTTTCGTTTTACTTTCTCTGATTCCACAGCAAAGCACAGTCAGTTGTGAAAAAATTATAAGAAAGCAGTTAGAGGTCAGCCGTCTCCCGATTTCCCCTGTGCACTTTCTGTGTACAGCCCTCCCGGCTGTGTGCACTGCCCACAAGCACACGTCAGTACCTCTGGTGTGTGTGTGTGTGTGTGTGTGTGTGTGTGTGTATGAGTGGGAGACAGGATCTAAATGTATACACATTGACTCAGATGTGCAGAAATACCTCCTTGCCTTAGGAGGTTTTTAAATAGTTGATTACCGCCTGGCTGGCGTGGCTCAGTGGTTGAGCATCGACCTATGAACCAGGAGGGCATGGTTCAATTCCTGGTCGGGGCACATGCCCGGGTTGCAGGCTCGATTCCCAGTGTGGAATCATTGCAGGAGGCAGCAATCAATGATTCTCTCTCATCACTGATCTCTCCCTCCTCCCCCTCCCCTCCCCCCCCCCCCCGCCTTTCTCTGTCGTTTCTTTAATTAAATGAGCTGTAATCTCAGCAGGAAATGGATGTGGGGGTTAATCTGCAGACATTCTCCGAGGCCTTCGGGACACTCACACCCTCCCCTGTGCCCTCTGTTCGCCTTGGTTAGTGTGGGCCAGCGCCGCGGAGCTGCTGGAGCAATCGGTGGCCGAGGGCATGGCCGGGGCGGCCCCTGCCGGGGAATTCTACATGGACCAGGACCTGGCCCAGCAGGACAAGGTGAGGGGTCTGAGGGGAGGGACCTCGGAGGGACTGCCCTGCCTCCTGTCCCAGAGTGCTCTTGTTACCGCTCCCACGAAACCCTCTCACTCCCCCGTAACTGTGGGGGCTGCTCCTTTGGTCCCAAGGAGCATCCTCCGCAGCCACAGTGTATTGAGCACCTGCTGTGCGCTGGGCCGTGTCCTGTGCACTCGCCGTGCAATGAGCTTGTGCCTCTTCTCCACCTTCCAAATAGACTTCTCTCACCCTCACGTGGCAGACGAGGGACCTGACGCCCAGAGAGGTTAAGCAACTCGCCCAAGGTTGCCCAGCGCGAGGGGCAGAGCTGGAATTCAAACCCGGGTCTGGTTAACTCTAAGCTGGTCCTTCCAGCTCTCCCCTAGTAACTGTTTGGTCCGCCAGGAGGGATGGACGGGGGGGGAGAACACACGTCCTGGCGGGAAGAGGGGAGCGCCGGGGTCAGAGAGGACTGAGAGCGAAGAGAGACCCAGAGAGGTTCAGAGCGCGGAACAGGATCCGAGGCCCCAACAGGCGAACTCAGGCTGTCCTGGGGAGGGCCCCTCAGACACAACTGGACGTTACCCTGAAAAAGCAGGTCATGGGGCGTCTTGCTTTCCGAGGCCCAGGGCCTGAGCCGGCAGCCCTTCTTGGAGTCTGTGAGGAGGGAGCTCGGGTTATGGTTAGATACCCGAGGCTCTGACCCAGGTGTCCCGAGGCTGGACTTTGGGAAGTGTGGCGGTGAGGTGAGCAGCCAGGCTATAACTGTATCCGGTATCTGTCGCCGTGTAACAAGCCACCCAGAGCGCAGTGGCTTAGAGCAGTCATTGATTATTTCCCGGAGCCTGTGGGCTGCCCGGAAGGCTCTCTGATCTTCCTCTGGCCTCACTCATGTAACCACCATCAGCCAGCAGCCTTGTAAGGACTGGCAGAAAGCCCGGCTGGTGTGGCTCAGTGGTTGAGCGTTGACCTATGAACCAGGAAGTCATGGTGTGATTTGGGAGGTGTGCAGGAGGCAGCCGATCAATGATTCTCATCATTGATGTTTCTCTCTCTCTCCCTCTCCCTTCCTCTCTGAAATCAATAAAAATGTGTTGGTTTTTTTTTTTTTTTAAACTTGCATAGAGATGGCCCAGCATCACTCCCACCGTATTCAGTGGGCGAGGGCAGGCGGCAGGGCCAGCCTAGGTGGAGAGCATCGGGAAACAGACTCCGCCACTGGATGTCACAGGCTGCCAAGCATTTGTAGCCGTTTTCCAATCCACCCCAGTTAAACTGGAAATGCAGTGTGACCACATTTACAGTGTTTCTATTTGTGAGTCACTTGTGCCCTGACTTGAGTACAATAACAATGAGCAAACTAGCTTACAGCCAAACAATATAAAGCCACCATCGGCTCCTCCTACCCGAGATGTGAAGGCCTGGTGAGATCCTCAGATGGCTTCAGGCATGGCGAGGTCCTCAGAACAGCCCCCCGGGCCGTCTCTCCCGTTTCCCTCCGAGCGTGGCACTCTGCGGCAGGCCGGCTGCACGTGTTGGAAAAGACAAACTCAGGCAACCGAGCCTGTGGCTTTAAAGTTAGGGCCCCAAAGGAGCCAAGACCCTTTCCCTCTGCGTGGCCACGTGAAATCCCTGAGAAAAGCCTGACTGGCCAGCCTGAGTCACATGCATGCGGGGAGGCGGGACAGGACCCCGTGGGAGGGGGAACCCTGACTCCAGGAAGGGACGGGGTCCTCCCCATGGAGGCAGAACTACACCCTCCCTGCAGGCTTCTTTATACTCCAGCACCCGGCACAGGGCCTAGCACATAGTAGCTGCTCAATTAACGCGTGTTGCATGAATAATGGCCGAGCATGGAGGCTTTGGGCCACTTTTCCCCGGAGGCTGCCTAGGAGGACAGAACGTTTGATGCTATCCTTCAGCATTTTGCCACAGGCATTGTCAGAGGCCCCGAGAGAGGCCCTTGGCAGCAGTTGGCAGTGCCAGGCAGGCTTCCTCATGACCCTGGCCTTGCCCGGGTCAGGGGAGAGGGAGGTCCTGAGGCTCTCTGGACAGCTCCCCAGGCCACGATCCGGCCTGGAAATTTCCCACTGAGCTCTGTCCAACCAACAGGAAATTGTTGGAAGGACAGGATTTCCTTTCAAGGCGGAAATTCAGTAGCTGCATTTTTTTTTTTCCCCCTCCGTCTTTCTGACATTGTAACGATGACTTCTAGTGGCCAATTTGGGGGATTTTTTCTCTATCGGGGGGAACCACCCATTAGTTGGCTGCAGCACTTTTTCTCTCGGAGAGACGGTGGGGACGGGGGGGGGGCAGTTTGTCTTCCGGGCCAGAGTGTGCCCGAGCCCACACGCATGATCCTAGTTCCTGCCTCCATTACGGTCCCGGTTCGGTTTCCTAGGACACACTTTTACCTGAATAACCAAGAGAGGCAGGAAGCAGTACCTGCAGAGTAGAAAGAGAAAGGAAACATTTCAGAATATGTTAACTTTATGGAAGTTAAAAACTAGCCCTCCTTATAAGCAGAATGTGGTCGAATAGAATGGCGTTTCCCTCACTACCTTTCCTGGGTCCCCAGGGTCCTGGACTGAATACGATGCAATTTAAAAAGCATGATAAACTCTCTAGAAACCCATGTTCCCAGCGGGGATGGCTGTGCTGGGTATGAAAGTCTAACTTTAGGGGCGGGAAAGTGTTAGCACCTGTGAGGCCCAGCACCACCTCCCGGAGTCTAGACACCAGTGGCTCAGGAGATTTGCAGGCCTGCCTCCCTACCCCTCCTGCCTCCCCCCTCCCTGCCTGCCCTCCCCTCCTGCTCCCCTCCTCCCGATCCCCTCCCCCCTGCTCCCCTGCCCTGCCTGCCATCGCCTTCCTAAGCCATCACCCCAGGCCCAGGCCCAGTAACCTACCCATCTGCCCCCCCTCCGCCCCCAGGATGAGGTCATCCTGATGCTGGGAAGAGAAGTCAGCCGCCTCTCGAATTTCGAGCTCGAATCCAAGTACAAAGACGCCGTGATCATGAACCTGCAGAACGAGCTGGCCAGCCTGAGTCAGTCGCTGCTGACGGAGACCACCTTCCCCAGGGGCGAGCGGGGGGCCCCGCAGAAGGGCCCGGTTCTGAACGAGTACATCGACGCCAAGCAGAGAGAGATCCAGAGCCTGAAGAGCCAGGTAGGTCCCGGAGAAAGCTTGCCGGTGAGGACTGAGTCAGGATGCAGGGTGACAGCTCGGGGGCGCGGGGCAGAGGAGGACGGCAGGAGCCACCAGACGACCAGGAAAGGGGCGGTCAGCGCTGGGGCAGGTTTCTAGCCTGGGAAGAACCCTACTAACTTTGACTAAGCACCTACTATGTGCAAGGCTTTGGCTTTTAACCTCCCAATCCTCCGACACATTCCATCCTGCAGACGAGGAGACCGAGGCAGGCTCGGAGACGCCAGCCCCGCGCCACAGCTTGCACAGCAAGGGGGCGAGGGCAGCACAGTTTGAACTCTCTGCCGACCCCATGCTCTCACCCCACTTGATAGGTCCACCCAACTCTGCCGCTTCAGGGACCACCTCTGCCCCTACCTCCCACCCCCACCCAGCCCAGACAGAGCCGTGGGCATGAGCTGGACGGGGCACGGAATCCCAGCGGCCAAACCCTGGGGCCTTGGCCACAGCCCGGAGGTAGCCGCTGGCTCGCTGGTGGGGCATTTCCTCAGACAGAAACCCTCCACCAGCAGTTCTGGACGGACCAGTCATGTTCTTTCTCTCCAAACTAGATCCGTCTTTTTCAAGACTCCTGTACAGCTGGCCATAGACTGTGTACACACAAAGGTGACTGAAGAAAAGAAACTGGCCACTAATGAATGCTGGCCCCAGTGCACAAAGCTGCTTAAAACCTGGGTCAGGCGTGGGGCCCAGGTCTCTGCCACTATCACTGCCTTTCCCTTCTGTAGCCAACTGAAGGTGCAGGGTTGCAGGCCCGGACGGGGTGTCTAGAAAAGGGCATACATAGGTTGTGTGATGGACCCAGGAGATTCAGACTGGAAGCTCCAGGAGGGCAAAGACTAGACCCCGTGACCTTCATTACTCGGAAAGGACCATGTCTGTTCATTCACTCACTCATTCATTGATTCGTCATTTTTTCATTCACTCAACTATTTGGGGGGTGCCTACCTTGTGCCATGCCCTCTCCCAGGCTCTGGGAATTCAGCAGAGAACAACGCGGACATGACCCCTGCCCCCTCCCGACTGCATTCCAGTGAGGGAGACACACACACACACACACACACACACACACACACACCCTCTGACGTCTACACGGACAAATGACTCTTCAGACCCGTTTTTTAAAAAACTAACGTCAGCAGCTGGTCCTGCAGGAAAGACGGCTGCAAACAGCTGCCTTGCCTGCAGCTGGCTCGTTGTGAGCATCTTTCTTCTCTGAACCCAGTTTCTGGCCCGTTTCCTGAGCAAAGGTGACAGGTCTTGTCCAGGTACGTGGATGAGGATGCATATGCCCCACCTGCCTTTTTTCTCATTGCGATGTACTTGACATCCAACATCGCGCCATTCCCACAAACCTCTGGCCGTCGGCACGTCGCAGTTAACTATTGTGTAAAGCGGCTAGTGATATCGGGGGAAAGTTTAAAAAAGAAAAAAGGAAAGAAATGACCTAGAAATAATCACACTGACTCATCCCACTGTGGCCTGCCTCCACTTACAGCCGAAGGAGAATATGTTAGAACAAGGCGTCTCTGAACAAGAGGCCCAGCTGGTTTGAACTCAAATCGAGGTTCGCCCGCTCATATCTTGGTTCCTTAAATATTCTACTGCCTGGAGGACCTGCAGCCAGAGCACACGCACACGGCACACGGCACACGGCAGGTTGACCTGTTGGCCTGATGGTTGTATACGTTCTCCCTGGGCCCCTCGCAGTACGTGTGTAACGATCTGCCCTTGAAGGTCTCCAGTCACTGAAGGTGCCTGTACCGGCTCCTGCAGCCTCTGCTAGCCAGCCACTTGTCCTCATCTCGGAGCCCTCGCTCCGCCATCTCGGAGCCCTCGCTCACTGCTCTCATGGTTCGGCGCCTGCTTCACTGCACAGCGGGACAGACGCTAAGCTGCCCATGCTTATGCCGGTTACAGACAATACGGGCATTTACTTCAGTCACGAAAGAAAAGAAGTGGTTTGAAGACTGGAGTTTTCCCACAATCTGAAATCCCGAAGCTCTGATGCTCCGGTTTAAATATTTTGTATCTGTCAGAAGCACTGGAGTCTTTGCAGGGAGGGTGTCTTCCCATCCCTTCTGGAAGTTTCTGTTGTGCCTCTGGTATCAAAAGCATTATTGCTGAGGAGAGCCAGATACTCTTTTAAAATAAATTATTCCCAGTGCCCTGTATGGAAGAGTTGCATGCTTCAGATGCCCCAGGGAAAAAGTAAATGTTACTGCCCCAAATGTCATAGATGGTGCAGGAAATGGGTCAGAAAGTGAAAGGAAACCTTGATGGTTCGGTAAATTCTATATAAGAAATAATGACTAGACTTTCTGGGACCAAAAGCAAGAATGATGATCGTGAGCGCCATCTGGTGGCAAGGCTCTCACCACATTACATGCGCTTACCTCACCATCATCATTTTTTACACTATGCCTACAGCATAGGACCATTACCAAGGATTCCTGTGTTTGCTCTTTTTCTAAAAATATTTTTTAATTGATTTCAGAGAGGGAAGGAGAGGGGAAGAGAGAGAAATATCAGTGATAGGGAATCATTGATCAGCTGCCTCCTGCACACCCCCCACTGGGGATAGAGCCCGCACCCTGGGCATGTGCCCTGACCAGGAATTGAAGTGTGACCTCCGGGTTCATAGGTCGATGCTCAACCACTGAGCAACACTGGCCGGATCCTGTGTTTGCTCTTAACAACAGTCGCACTGGTGTTTTCGTGAGCCTAGACAAGGCTTACAAATGCACACAGACATGCTACCCGCCTACCTTCCCCTGAGACAGACAAGAGAAGCTGAAGCCAGAACATGCCGCGGGGAGTCAGGTGAGAGGATCGGCGCCGCTAACGCCCATGTGCCGTGTGCCGGGCGTGATCCGAGAGCACGCACATGCACTAACTTATCAAGCCATTCTCACAAGCCTGCCAGCTCGAGGCTCCCACCACCCCACTTGCAGAATGAAAAGGGAAGCAGCGTTGGGCGCCCTCCCCGTGTCCCCACGGCCTGGAAGTGGGGGAGGCCGGATTTGAAGGTCGCAGGCTGGCCCCGAGGCCACGCTAGGCTTCAGCGCCTGTCTGTCCACGCGGGTCCCAGAGCCGTGGGACAGGACGGGAAGAACTGGAGCTAAGACTGAGATGCGAGTTGGAATCCACCTCCGGCCAGCGGTGTGACCCGGTGCCAGCGGCTCGCTCGCTGAGGCTCAGCATGCTCACTTGCAAAATGGGACTGTAACGAGACCATCAGGCTTCAGTGATGCTGTGACAAGCTGTCAAAAAGCAGAATGTGCCCAACCGGCGGCGTGGACCAGGGGTTGAGCGTCACCCTATGAACCAGGAGGTCACGGTTCCATTCCTGGGCGGAGCTTGATCCCCAGTAGGGGGCGTGCAGGAGGCAGCCGATCGATGGTTCTCTCTCATCATTAATGTTTCTGTCTCTCCCTCTCCCTTCCTCTCTGAAATCAATAAAAATATATTTAAAGAAGAAGAAGAAGAAGAAGAAGTAGCAGCCCCTGAGAAGGGGCTCAGGAGCTCCGGAATGCTCTATGATGCACACAACATCGTCACTACCATTGGAGGGAACTAATATCATAACCTGCTCCCCTCTGTTGAATTTTTCTCCGCATCCAGTGGTGCTGGGTGATCTGGAACCAAGGGCCGGTCTGTAGATGGCTGAGAGTTGAAAGGTCGTCGGCAGGCACGCTGGGGGACCAGCATCCGGGCAACAGCTGTGCCCAAGCCCCCCCTGTATGTGCACAAAGCGATGAGCTCCTGTGTTGATGGCCCAGGAACCGGTGGGCCTGCAGGAACAGGCCTCTCCCGTCTTTAGCAGTGAGGAGCAGTGGTTCCCCCAACACCCCACCAAGACCAGGTGACCCCTGACCTGGCCGACCCCTCTGACTGCCCCGCCTCCGCCCCCAGGTCAGCGCCCTGCAGCAGGGCTACAGCCAGGTGCTGAGCCAGACCCTGTCCGAGCGGAACTCGGAGATCAGCTTCCTGAAGAACGAGGGCGAGACCTTACGGAGGGACCACGCCATCTCGTCCGGTGAGCTCTCCCGGGGCCGGGCCTGGGGCTGCCCCTCCGCCATCCAGTGCCCCAGCCTCTGCCCCTCCGCCATCCCAGTGCCCCAGCCTCTGCCCCTCCGCCATCCCAGTGCCCCAGCCTCTGCCCCTCCGCCATCCCAGTGCCCAGAGCTGCCCCTCCGCCATCCCAGTGCCCCAGCCTCTGTCCCTCCGCCATCCCAGTGCCCCAGCCTCTGCCCCTCTGCCATCCCAGTGCCCCAGCCTCTGCCCCTCCGCCATCCCAGTGCCCAGAGCTGCCCCTCCGCCATCCCAGTGCCCCCGCCTCTGCCCCTCCGCCATCCCAGTGCCCAGAGCTGCCCCCTCTGCCATCCCAGTGCCCAGCCTCTGCCCCCCGCCATCCCAGTGCCCCTGCCTCTGCCCCTCCGCCATCCCAGTGCCCCAGCCTCTGCCCCTCCGCCATCCCAGTGCCCCATCCTCTGCCCCTCCACCATCCCAGTGCCCCAGCCTCTGCCCCTCCGCCATCCCAGTGCCCAGAGCTGCCCCTCCGCCATCCCAGTGCCCCAGCCTCTGCCCCTCTGTCATCCCAGTGCCCCCGCCTCTGCCCCTCCACCATCCCAGTGCCCCTCTGCCATCCCAGTGCCCCCGCCTCTGACCCTCTGCCATCCCAGTGCCCCAGCCTCTGCCCCTCCGCCATCCCAGTGCCCAGAGCTGCCCCTCTGCCATCCCAGTGCCCCCGCCTCTGCCCCTCTGCCATCCCAGTGCCCAGAGCTGCTCCACTGCCATCCCAGTGCCCCCGCCTCTGCCCCTCCGCCATCCAGTGCCCCCGCCTCTGCCCCTTCGCCATCCCAGTGTCCCAGCCTCTGCCCCTCCGCCATCCCAGTGCCCAGAGCTGCCCCTCGCCATCCCAGTGCCCCAGCTTCTGCCCTCCGCCATCCCAGTGCCCCAGCCTCTGCCCTCCGCCATCCCAGTGCCCCAGACTCCCCACAGCCTCTGCCCCCCCCTCAGGGGCAGGGCGGGACCTCAGAGATGGGCTCAGCAGTGATTGCCCCTAAGGTAAGTGTGATGAGATGTCCGGCTTTTGGCAGGACTGTCCCGATTTTTAACAATTTGTCCTGCATCTCACGGTGTTTTAAAACAGTCCTGATTTTTTAAAACGCTGTGGGACAAATTGTTAAAAACCGGGACTGTCCCGCCAAAAGCCAGACGTCTGGTCACCTTACCCTAAGGGAGGCTTATTGCCATCCAGTTCCCGGGGTGGGGCCTGCTAAATGTTTGCGTGAACGTGGCCTCTTAGCTGGAAGGTCTAAGAACACGGGGCGCCATGGGGCTGGGGCAGGGGCTGGGGCAGCTCCGGAAGCCGCCTTGCCCCGAATGTGGGCCCCGCTTTAAGGCACCGCAGAGAGGGACACCGTTTCCCCTGGTGCAGAGGGCTGAGTGAGGACCTGGTTCTTCTCATTGACTGACAGGGTGGTCCCGCTCCACAGCCCCGGCTGGGGGAGGGGCAGCCAGCGCCTGGGCTGGCACAGGGCTCTCAGCCCGGACCCCTGCATTCCTTCGGCACGTTTACTGAGCACCTACCGGGTGCCAGGCCTGTCCTGGGGCCGGGGAGAGAGCCCAGAGTTGGGTCCCTGAACTCACGGGGCTCACATTTGGGAGCAGGTGACGGACAGAAATGAGTAAACGTGAATCAACAAGCCCACAGCAGAGAAAACGGGCAGCGTGGGTGGTGGCACGCTTTGGGGGTGAAGCGGAGGGAGAAGGGCACGGACAGGTCTCGGAGGAGGCGAAGGGACGAGCAGAGGCTGAGCGAGCAGGCCCTGTGGGAGGGGCAGAAGGCCAGCAGGGCCGGAGTGATGGGGACGAGGGCCGTGGGGGTGGACGGGTCAGGCGGGAGGCAGGGCCGGCTCCCAGGAGGAGGCTGGGACTCAGTCTGAGGGCGCTGTGAAGCCGTTGGGGTTTTTTAAGCAGAAAATGAGATGTCTAGAGACTGATGAGGATGGAGTCAGTGACAGAGAAAAAGGGAGGGAGAGAAGCAGGCGGTGAGTCTGGGTCGAGGCTATTCTTTCTTTTAACATTTTTAGTGACTTCAGAGAAGCAAGGGGAGAGAGAAACATCAGTGATGAGAGAGAATCGTTGATGGGCTGCCTCCTGCACACCCCACACACAGGATCAAACCCACAACTGGGACCTCCTGGTTCATAAGTCGACAGCTCAGCCACTGAACCACGCCTGGGGCTGTTGTTATCCGAGGGCCAATCACAGCAGAGGCTGAGCCATGAGCGAGTCACCGTCGCCCGTGTGAATCTGTGTGCTCTGCCCGGGGCTGGCTTTTCCTCGGCCTCACTCCTTACACACTCACACCCCGTCCTCTACCCCACGCCACCCTGCCTGCCAGGCCTCTGTTCACGCTCCCCTCTAACTGGAAAGTCCTAAGAAATTTGCACGGGCCAGGCACGGCTCCAAGCATCGGAAATAGAAAGGTGAACTCACTCAGCCCTTGCCTTCCTCCCTGACATCGGCTCATCAGGCCTCATCCTCGCTTCAAGCCTCTCTGACACCACTCGGTTTGGTCCCCCCCAGCCCACCAGCATCGGGCACGCCCTGCGGCTCGGCCCCCAGCCCAACAGGACCCCAGTGTTCTGTGTGCACAGCCCAGATGAGCCGCGGGGCCGGGGCTGCTGCAGTAACAAGCAGCCCCCGCTCCCGCCTCCCCGTTCTCAGTGGTCCACGCTGTTGCCTCCGACCTTGGTGAGTCTCTCGGGTTTGTTTTTAAACAGGGATGGTGTCGTCTTTGCAAAAAGACGTGGTCGCCAAGGATGAGGAGGTGCAACAGCTGAAGCAGGAGGTGAACCAGCTGAAGAGCGAGAACAAAGAGAAGGACCGCCAGCTGGAGGCCATCAGCTCCAGAGTGAGTGCAGCTCTTTTCTGGGCAAAGAGGAGACTGACCTTCTCGGCCCCTCTCTCCCTCCCTGCCTCCCTCCCTGCCTCCCTCCCTCCCTGCCTCCCTCCGGCCCAAACACCCCGGGTAGCTCGCTGGCTCTTGAAAAAGAATTCAGACACTTTCCTCCTTAGAACCCGTGAGCAGGGGCCCTGGGAGCGGCCGCAGGTCCGGCAGCCCCCGGGCCTGTGGGGCGCGAGGGATCAAACAGCAGCATGTGCTCTGCAGGGCCACCGTGGGGACCGGGCCCCCATCAACCCCCACGGCCTGCTGCCCCTCTCTCCCCACAGTGCTCCCTGCTCAAGGAGGCGCTGACCAAGGAGGAGGCCCAGAAGGAGCACCGGGAAGCCCAGGAGAAAGAGCTGAAACTCAGCAAATCCGTGAGTCGAACGTCCTCACTCCCCCGCGCCCACGGAAAGGCTCTGACCTTCCAGTTTTGGCAGGAGCACCGGCTCCGGGGTTTCCCGATGGTGATGGTTAGGGCCACCTCCTCACTCTTCGATTGGCTGCCTCTGGGAGGACACGGGTGAGAAGACCCTGGGAAACCACCCTCCCAGCATTTCCCGGGCGTTTCTCTCAGAGCCGGGCCGTGCTGGGCTGGGGTGGGGCCGGGGCCAGGGACAGGGACAGGGGCCGGCCGGGTGGCCACCACGGGCTGCCAGAAAGTCCCTGTGCTCCCGCCCCGGGGCCTGTGACGCCCAAACCAGCATGTCCCGCTGCCACACGTTCATCGTAGGGACACTGATCACTGTCACCAACCCCACACTCTTCCTTACGTAACTTCACTCCACTCATAGCAACACCACACGGGCATCCTGTGCCGCTGCAGAAGGCGGCTGTTAAAGGCGCAGGGAAAACCGACCACGACACCGAAGTGTCCATTTCCTGGGCCAGTGGGACCCTCCTCCGCCCCAGCCGGCACAGCTCCAGTTCGGGGGGCGCACTGCGTCTTTAACAGAAGGGGAGACGCGCCCCTCCTGCGTCAGGAGCATCCGCGGTCTCTGCCCCCGTGGAAGGAGGAAAACCCGTTGTTTGTCCTTCCAAACTGGGCCCTTTGTGTCTTCCAAACGGCCCTTATTCCAGTCGATCGCAAAAATATACCCCAAGAGGAATCGCTGTAAAATTATCCTAATGAACTGATGGATGTCTCCCACTGTTCCATCCCAGGGTACAGCTGCTTTTCTGCGGGGCCTGTTTCTCTGTTTTCCGTGTCCATCACGGAAAACGGCAGGTTCCTGAGGGGGAGGAGCTGGGGATTAAGAAATTAGAGAAAGAAGAAAGAGACATGGAGGCAGAAATAGATTCATCAAGCTGGGCGCTAGGTGGGCGCCATCTCTCTGATGGAGAGGCAGCAGGGCAACCCCCCCCCCCCCCAAGACATGCAGGTTTATTTATAGGGTCAAAGGAGCTTATTTGCATTTTTTAAAAAATATATTTTATTGATTTTTCTTGCAGAGAGGAAGGGAGAGAGAGATAGAGAGCTAGAAACGAGAGAGAACACATCGACCAGCTGCCTCTTTGCACACCCCCTACCAGGGATGTACATGCCCTTGACCAGAATCGAACCTGGGACCTTTCAGCAGACCGATGCTCTACCACTGAGCCAAACCAGTTTCAGCTTATCTGCACTCTTAACTAGGCCCTAGGATCACTGGATTTACATATCTAGACCCGCCCCTGCTGACACCTGGACAAAGGTGCTCTGCCAGTGCCTCGGGCTCAGCTAGCAATTTAAAGAATGTCCATGTGCCTTCTCTGGAGGCCCTCTACAATTTTCAAACAAAACTAGCCGTGGTCAATATGTCACTTGAAAAAAAAAAAAGTCTGCTTTGCTCTGCAGACGTAGGATCCCCCCCCCCCCCCCCCCGCCCGCCCAGGGACAGGCCTTAGCTGGTCCCTGTTAGGTCCTCGCCTTCACGTGCCCAGTGAAAGGCGTTACGGAGACCCAGCCCTCTCCGCCCAGAAGTCGGGTCCGGCGAGCCGGCAGGGAAGCTGACCTTTGTCGAAACTCTTCCAGCAAATCCAAAACATGGAGAGAGAGATGAGGAGGCTCAGGGAGGAGCTGAAGAAGAGCACCTCTGACCAGAGCATGGTCTGCAAGACGCTCCGGGAAAAGAGCAAGGTACGTCCAGGGCAGCCGCGGCCCAGCCCGCTCCGGGCCGGGCGCACCACACGCACCCTCTCCTCGCAGCGACGCTGTGCGGTCTGCACCGGTTTTAACCCCACTTCACAGCTGGGGAAACCGAGGCTCACGAGAGCAAAGGGGGTTTTCCGACGTCCCTCAGCTAACGTCGTGGCGGCAGGACTCGAACCCAGGTCTGCCTGGCTCCAAGGCCCCTGTGTGCAGCCACTCCCCCAGCCCGCCTTCAGGTTTGAATTGTGAAATTATCCCGAATCGGTCCACTTAAGCCACGTTTGCCAGTGATGCTCAAACTGAAATGCTGCTGCAGATTGTCCTCTGTGTGTGTGTGTGTGTCCCCACAGGTCTTTGAGAGAAGGCATGTTTTTAAAAAGCTCATCATGACCGTGGGTGTGTGTATTTCTCCTTTTAATGTCGCTTACTTTTGCTTTGCGTATTTTGAGGCCGTGTTGCCAGGTGCATGTATGTTAGAATGTTAATTCTTCCCGTTGGGGAAGGAAACACCCCCTGGATCATCGTAGAAATCTCCGTGTCTATTAGTGTTTCTTCTCCCCGGAAGTGCGTTGCCGTTAACGCAGAAGCATAGGCCATCAGCCTTTCTGTTGGTTAGGGTTTTCACAGCACCTTCGTCATCATTTTCCTGCCCATCTTTGTTTTTAAGGTTTTTTTTCCTCTCTCTCTTCTAAATAGCATGGCGTTTTATAAAACCCAGTCACAGTCTTTATATATATAAAGTGCAATTGCTGGTATATTGACTGGGGCTTAACTCTACCCTCTTAGAGCGATATTTCTGCACTGTATTTCCTGTTCTCTCCTTTCTTGGGCTCTTTTGAGCTGATGGTTTTCTGTCATTCCGTTTTGGTCTCTGCCTGGAAATGTTTCACGCCTTAATTACACTTTTAGACGAGTAAGACAATAGCATTGACCCCGGACTTGCCAAAATCCGATATCCGTTGAGTTTCTGAGTCTTTTAGCGCTCACCCCGGGAGCTGTGCTCTGCATTCTTGATGATGACTCTGCCCTTGGCCTTGGCAATGCTGATGACAGATTCTTTCAGGGCTGTGTGTGTGTGTGTGTGTGTGTCTGTCTGTCTGTCTGAAAAATGTATGCTTACCCTCCATGTTTGACGGAGTGCTGAATCCAGCGTTGGCAGTGGTTTTCTTTCAGCTCCTTACAGGTAGCCTGAGGTTCATCTTTCTAGGGTCTTTTGGCTCCTGGTGTTTCTACTTTTGAGGTTGTTGTCGAGCCTAACATTGCCCCTTTGCAAAAGCTCTGCTTTCTCTCAGGCTGCGTTTAAGAGTCTCTGTCCCCTCTGTTTCCAGCGGTCTGACGATGCTTTATCGGGGTGTGGGTTTATTTATTTATTTTTCTGCCTTGTGCGGAGTTCACGGGCCTTCCAGAGCCGTTGGCTTGGCGTTCTGGTTTGTTCTGCGCTGGGGGCTACCTACCACACAGGCAGTAAGGAGCCACCGGAGGCCCTGAACTGGACACTGATACTGTCACATTTGTCATCAATAGTAACGGTGAAGCTGGCAGCTGTGATTTCTCATGTGTTATGCCAAACATTTCATCGTTTTTAAAAAAAATAATAATATTATTGATTTCAGAGAGGGAAGGGAGAGGAAGAGAGAAAAACATCAATGATGAGGGAGAATCATTGATTGGCTGCCTCCTGCACAGCCCCCATTGGGGATCGAACCCACAACCCAAGCATGTGCCCTGACTGGGAATCAAACCGTGACCTCCTGGTTCATAAGTTGATGCTCAATCACTGAGCCACGCCGGCCGGCTCATCTCTTTTCATCCTCACAACGACTCTATAACCTAGAAACGATCCTTCCCACTTTACGGGCGAGGGAGTCAAGGCTGCTAGTTACCAATACAGCCAGTACCCCAGAGCCAGTCATTGGCACAGCCAAGGCCGGGAGCCACACACACACACACACACACACACACACACACACACACACATACAACACACATACATATACACACCAGCCACGTGTGACTGTTCACATTGACATTTACCAAAATTAAAGAAAATGTAAAATTCAGTTTCTCAGTCACACCTCAAGTGCACTGCCCAGGTATGGCTCACAGCTGCCGTGTTAGCCAACAAAAACAGGAAGCCAGTCCACCAGACAGAGCTGTTCTACAGCCTGGTTACCCTCAGGACCATGAAGAATGTTCTGGAAGGCAATGAAAATAGAGGCCAGAGGCACATTTTCAGAGACCAAAGGTTCTCAGCGCCTGGCGGGGCCTAGCCCAGGGTGGGGCAGGGGTAGGAGCAGAGCAGCGGGGGATCTGAGAGGGATGGGAGCACGGGGTTTGGAGAGCAGCAGGTGTGAGAAAGGGGCCATGGGAGATGACCCCAGGCCTGAGGCGGGGGGGGGGGCTGTTCATTATGGTGGGGACCACGGAGGAGGGCAGAGTCCGGGTTGGAGTCTGCCTTGTAGTGGAGGGAAGTCTGCTGAAACGGAAGTCAGAGCTCCTGAGACCTGAGAGGGGTGTTTGTGGAAAAAACTGGGCCCAGGGAGGGTGTGCGGCTTTTCCAAGTTCACGTGGACCCCACAGCTCAGCATTAGCTGTGAAGGGTCCTCTGCTCTTTTATTACATCCCTCCCAGCTCCCCTTCGGCTCCCGAATAAACAGCCATGGAGCGTTTCGGTACAAACCCTCCCGTTTATTTCGGAGAGTTTGCCTCATTTCCTGATAGTGCCAGAGCCCTGGGCTCAGCACATGCTCCCAAAATGTGTATTGTTCCGAAATGAATTGAGCAGCTGCAGGGCCCGTGGTGGCCAGCAGAGTGCAGCACTGAGCACTCCCAAGCTCCTCTCCTGTGGACCGTTACCCAAACCAGGGGAAAGCAATCAGCTGGCTTCTCTGCTTTAAACGCCTTCCCTCACAGGCTGTGATTCACCGCTTAGCAAGCCTCCTGGAGTGGGTTCCAGAGCCCTCTTAGGCTAACCACTGCGAGTCCCCGCGATGCCTCTGTGAGGCGGTCCTAGCTTCATCGTTCCCATTTGTCAGATGAGAACACCGAGTCGCAGAGCAGGGCAGTAACTCTCTCAGGGTCCCAGGGCTCGTTAGGGGTTGAGCTGGGATCAGAGTCTGCAGTTGACAAAACAGAGACGAGCCGGGGATGCAGAGCTCGGCCCTTCTCCTCCCACCTCCCCCTCCCAGGAGCCCGGCACACCCCTGACCCCTGCAGCCGCCCCTCCCCCTCGGGGACTCCCCGGCCATTAGCCCTCCTGGAGGGATTTCCCAGAGTGCATTACGATCACATTAGCAGCAGCACCCGCTTTCATCGCCCTTTCAGGTTGAAGAGAAGCTTCAGGAGGATTCCAGAAGGAAATTGCTTCAGCTCCAAGAAATGGGGAGCAGAGAGAGCCTCATTAAAGTCAATTTGGAAAGGGCAGTAGGTCAGGTAGGCGTGCGAGCTCCAGGGCCCCTCCGTGGCCCCGTCCCCCAGGGATCGTCCGCGCCCAGAGGCTGGTGGGAAGCGGAGGAGGAGGAAGGCGGCCGTGGTGTGCTGCTCCCTTTGACCTCGTGGGCAGTGGCTTCGCGTGGCTCCTGCCTCCCCGTGGACGTCCTGAGGGGCGCTCCCTGATGGGAGCCGTCGCCCGAGACCCCGGCCACACAGCCACCCTTCAGTGCCTGCCCCATTAACCAGCCGCCCGCCGTTCCCTCCTGGGAAGGGTCTGAGCCTATTGGCCCCAGCAGTGTTTCCAGCACCTTCTCCCTAACATTTTCACCCTGACGTTCACCCCTCTCCTGCCTCCTCTGGGCTCCAGCAGAAATCCCATCAGTGACCACGAGGAAGCGCCCCTTTTCCTAAGAAAGCAGAGCCCCGGGATGTCCGAGCTCATGCGAGACGGAGACCCCGGGCAGAGTGGTGAGCTGGCTGGCCCGGCCGGTCCGGGTGCGTGTTCTGGGCTGGGTGGCCCTCGGCCCCTCCCCTTACACGTGGCACAGCGTGAGGGCCAGAGCATACAAACAAGGCTTCTTCACAGGCGAAGGGAGAGCCAACAGGAAGCCGGGTCAGGGGCACTGAGCCCACCATGGGCAGCCCCCCGGGGGCTCCTCCTCAGGCCCCTCCTGGCCACCACGGCTCGAGGGCAGCCAGGAGCGTTAGCGTGCACGCGAGGCTGTGCTGCTTTTCGGGAAGGAAGGGCCCGGCACGCTGCTCTGTGGATCCTCAGAGCGTCTGTGAGCCACCACCAAGGCCAAGCACCGCGATCCTGAGGGTCCTTCCATCCCGCCCGGCCCCGCCCCAGCGCCCTCCCCTGACCCGCATGTGGCCGGGGCTCCAACAGCGGCACCAGCTCATAGCGATGCTGACTACCGGGCAGGTTTTAAAGCTCCTTCAGCAAACGTCACCACCATCACCCCAGGGTCACGTCTCCTGCAGGGGCCGACCCTTAGCGAGGGCAGAGAGCTTGCCCGTCCGGGCTCCCCCTGTGCCCCTGGGCTGCCCTCGCCTCTCCTGCACGCTGCTCTCCCGGCAGGCCCAGGCGAGGGCAGCCTCTGTGCCACTGGCCACGTGCGGGTCCCGGTTACGATCTAGGAAGCAGTCAGCTGGGAGAGGACCCCGCGAGGCACTGAGGTTCCTCCAGGTCTGGACTCAAGCGAGAAGGAGCCCCGCTCTGGCCCCGACTCTCCCAGCCCAGCCCATCTCCAAAGCCTGCTCACTCGCGCGCGCGCGCTCTCTCTCTCTCTCTCTCTCTCTCTCTCTCTCTCTCTCTCTTTCTCTCAGATCCACCCTCCCCCCCAAGGCCAGTGATCCAGGACACAGCCCATTGTCCAGGACTGTGGTCGGCAAACTGCGGCTCGCGAGCCACATGCGGCTCTTTGGCCCCTTGAGTGTGGCTCTTCCACAAAGTACCACGGCCGGGGCGAGTCTATGTTGAAAAAGTGGCGTTAGAAGAAGTTTAAGTTTAAAAAATTGGGCTCTCCAGAGACATTTCAATCGTTGTCCTGTTGATATTTGGCTCTGCTGACTAATGAGTTTGCCGACCACTGGCCCAGGAGAACCTGTCCCTCCGCCCTGAGCAGTCCTCAGGGCCCTCTGCTGGCGGGGCGTCACTCAGGCCTCTGTGCACAGCCTCCTGCTTGGCCGTGAAGCCAGAGGCGGGCACGGAGCGCCCGAGGCACCGGTCGCTGCTGCAGGCCGCCCGCCGCCTGGGTGTCCTCAGGAGCGTCTCCCTCCCCGGCCCGGGTCCCAGAGTTCCACGGTGCGCGGTGCACGCCTGTGTCGGGGCCGTTGACCTTCAGGCTGGTTCGGTGGCCCTTCCGCCCCCTCAGGGCTCTGTCTTGGGATCCTCAGCGACCAGACACCCAGGCCAAGGGCCTCCACGCTGGGAAGTTTCCAGATAGACTCGGGCTCCTTTGCCTCTGCCTTTTCACGGAGCCTGGGGCCCCTTGATCTTGCAGTTCTGCAAGCCCTGCTTTAACGTAACTGTTGTCTCATCACCTGCCATCCCATCGGAGAGCGTGGGCCCCACGGAGGCCCTGGAGGGCGGGCTGGAGCACACGCCCTGGAGCACACCCCCCCCCCCTTCCTGGTCTTTGACAGACGTGTCCGTTCTTAGGGTTGGGTGTCTGCTCTGTGCCAGGCCCCGGACCAGTTGCTGGGGGCACAGAGGAACACGATACCCAAGGTCTCTGGGCGGGGAAACGGCAGGAGGGAGTGGATCCCTCCGCCCCCCGGCCCCCTGCTGATGACCGTTTCCCGGGGCTGACAGCCTCCATGTTTACCTCACAGTCTGGGGCCGGCTCAGCAAACACGGCAGAGCGCTCCGGCCCGGGCTTCCTGCTGGATAATTGGCAGCAAGCGGCTCTGCAGAGGGCTCAAGACGTTTGTGTGTGTGTGTGTGTGTGTGTGTGTGTGTGTGTGCTGCCCACACGCACCAGCTGGGACAGGCAGGCAGGCCGAGTACGCAATTAAAGCCTCTGCCCCCTCCCTCCCGCGGGCACTGCCCCTCAGTGACAGGTGGATCTCAGTGACGGGGCAGTGGCATGGCCGTCCAGGGCGCTCAGGCCGTCCTGACTGACTTCTCCTGCCCCCCAAGGCCGGCCGGCTGCCGCTCCCCCCACCCCTGACCCAGTCGCCTCCTCTGTCTGCAGCTGGAGCACTTCAGGAGCCAGGTCATCAGGGCCACGTACGGGCGAGCCAAGCCGTTCCCGGACAAGCCCGTCAGCGACGAGCAGGTGCGTCCACCTCCGCCTCCGCCGCCGCCTCCTCGGCCGGGACGGCCGCCGCCGCCGGGAGCGTGCGCTCCGGGTTTGGGTGGTGGCACGCGTTTTTCACACGCGGCCACGCCATGAAGATCTGCTAAGATTCAGAGTCAAAGCCAGGGAAACCCCCTTGAAACGTTTCTGTGAACATCAAACCACATCGCTCAGGGTGTCCTGGTCCCCGGATGCGCAGGGGCAGCCCTGTTAGCACCCTCGTTAGCGTCGTGAGAAAGGGCCGCCTCGCCCAGACAACACGGGAGTCCTATCCGCCTGTTCCTTCTGGAGAGAGAGAGAGCAGAGACCGGTGTGGCTCAGGGGATAGAGCGTCAGCCTGAGGACCGAAGGGTCCCAGGTTCAATTCCAGTCAAGGGCATGTACCTTGGTTGCGGGCACATCCCCAGTGGGGAATGTACAGGAGGCAGCTGGTCGATGTTTCTAGCTATCTATCCCTCTCCCTTCCTCTCTGTAAAAAATCAACAAAATATACTTTAAAGAGAGAGAGAGAGAGAGAGAGAGAGAGAGAGAGAGAGATGAGGACGGGCTTCTGGCCAGCCGGGGCCTTGTTAGTTTCCAGTGATTCTCTCCCACGCCCTGTGTCGGCCTGCGGGTGAGGACACACAGCTCTCATCGGCCTCAGAACCACCGGACCCTCAGCATCAGGATGTGTTATCAGTTGCTCCTAAACGGCAGAAAAATCTAGAACAAATGAATGGCAGCAGTACGGGCCTTGGGGGGTCTTCAAAACCGTCTCGGATCCCAGGAAACGAAAGTGTCCTGGTGACAGTGCCGATGGCGGCCTCCAGAGCCATCGCCCACGCCCGGCAGGATGGCCCTCCCCACCGCAGAGACCGGGTGACGCTCCCAGCTCCCTCCTCCAGGGGGCCTCGTGTTTTAAATCTTTTCTTTCTTTCTTTTTTTTTTTTTTTTGTCACCAGTTAATAGAGAAGATCATCCAGGTCACAGAGGACAATGTCAGCTTTCAGCAGAAAAGGTGGAAGGAGAGCCAGCTCAGCCACTGCAAGCAGGAAGCGCTCGCCAAGAGCATCGAGAGGCTGCGGGCGTCACTGGACAGCTGCCAGGTGGCCCCTGCTTCCCGCCGCGTCCCCTTCAAGTCCCCTCTGCATCCCCTCTGCCTGCGCCCCCTCTGCCTGCGTCCCCTCTGTTCGTGTCCCCTCTGTATCTGTCTGCGTCCCCTCTGTCTGCATCCCCTCTGCCTGCGCCCCCTCTGCCTGCGCCCCCTCTGCCCGCGCCCCCTCTGCCCGCGTCCCCTCTGCCCATGTCCCCTCTGCCCGCGTCCCCTCTGCCCGCGTCCCCTCTGCCCGCGTCCCCTCTGCCCGCGTCCCCTCTGCCTGCGTCCCCTCTGTAGGAACCCGTGCCGGGCCCAGGCACCTGTCCGGCCTCCGTGGGGCAGGTCGGGCAGGGTGCCCTGCCTCTGTGCCCACCTTTCCTCTCCTGGAGAAACGTGTGTGAGAGCAGGGAGCCCCCGGCCTCGGAGGACGCCCCCGGGCAGGCTGGGGCAGCCCAGGAAGAGGTGCCGGGCACTCTGAGTACCTCGGTGGGAGGTGGCGGGCCCCAGGGGGCAGTAAAAGTCCTGTGTTATCGCCAGAGAAATCAGAGCAGCAGGCCTGCCCTCTAGCTGCTCCTCCTTTGGGCCCAGCAGGGAGAGGCGGTTGGTAGCCCTGGTGCCTCCCCAGGGTGGGTCCTTCTCTCTGCCCAGGGCCGCCAGGTTCCTGTAACATCATACCCGGCCGTACACAACCATCAGCTTAAAGACCAGCGGCTGTGTTTCCTCAATTACCCACCCCTGACTCCTCGGGCCTTATAGGACCCGTGGGCCGGACGCTCCCCACCCCTACCCGAGCCCGCTGTGGGGGCGGCCCACAGGGCAGGGCCCAGCCCCAGGGCCCCATTCGGGGAGTAGGCAACTGCTTCCTTGCTGCTAGTATTTGGGGAGTTTGTGCAAATGTTAGTGTGTCAGCTCTTTCAATCAGCAAATTGCACTTTCTGACCAGCTCATGTGTTGATCTCAGCAGGAATTTGGACGAATAAAAATAGCCAGATTCAGTTCTCATTTCAGCCTATTGTCCTCGGCAATTTGGCTTTCAATTTGAATAGACCCAAGTGGTGTCACTCTGACCACCAAAAGTCCAAGTTAGGGTGCAAACAAAATAATCTGCCCCTTACATTCCCCTTCCCTCAACCCCCACCACCACCACCTCCCATCTCCCCAGCCCCACCCCCACCACCTCCCATCCTCCACCCTCCGCCACCTCCCATCCTCCACCCTCCGCCACCAAAAATATTAAGCAAATAATACTGGCCGGGGACACCCTTGGGCGCTGACCTGGGGCTCTGCTGCTTCACAGCAAAATCAAGAGCATTCTTCACAGGTAGTGTCCGTTGGGGTTTCTGAGGCGTGTCAGGCTCCTCACCATCCTCTCTCTGCAGGCGGTTGCTCACCGTCCTCTCTCTACAGGCCTCACCGTCCTCTCTCTGCAGGCGGGTGCTCACCGTCCTCTCTCTGCAGGCGGGTGTTCACCGTCCTCTCTCTGCAGGCGGTTGCTCACCGTCCTCTCTCTGCAGGCGGGTGCTCACTGTCCTCTCTGCAGGCCTCACCGTCCTCTCTCTGCAGGTGGGTGCTCACCGTCCTCTCTCTGCAGGCGGGGGCTCACCGTCCTCTCTCTGCAGGCGCGCATGAAGCAGTCCTGCTGCAGCACGGACCTGAGGAAGGAGGTGGAGCTCCTCCAGGCCCTGCAGGTGAGCCCGCCGGTGTCCGGGCTCCAGAAGGCGGCGCTGGACCTGGTGCGCCTGTCGCAGTCCTGGCTGGAGGACGCCGAGGGGCTCCTCCGGGACGTGGGGATCCAGCTGCCCGGCTCCGACAAAGGTGACGGGCCGTTTTCTCTCGCGTGACCGCACTCTAAGGCGTAGTGTTGAGTCCTTATCACAAAGGGTCATCTGCTGAGGAAAGTTCTTGGGCGCGTGGCCAGGTGCCCCTGCTCCAGACTCGCTTCGCTTCTCCACTTGAGAAGCAATTTGCCTTAAAAAAATAAAAATAAAGCCGAAACCAGTTTGGCTCAGTGGATAGAGTGTCGGCCTGCGGACTGAAAGGTTCCAGGTTTGATTCCGGTCAAGGGCATGTACCTTGGTTGCGGGCACATTGCCAGTGGGAGGTGGTGCAGGAGGCAGCTGATCAATGTTTCTCTCTCATCGATGTTTCTAACTCTCTATCCCTCTCTCTTTCTGTAAAAAAATCAATAAAATATATTTTTAATTAATTAATTTTAAAAAATGAGACTTAATTTCAGGGATGTCCCATCTGCCCGCTGCCCCTCCCCATGACTGTCAGCATCCTCCACCGGGGTGGACCTTACATGACGCATCATCATTGTCCAGAGTCCGTGGTCCTCGTGAGGGCTCAGTGCATGCCGTGGGCTGGGACACCTTTCTAAGGACACGCACCTGCCTCTGTGTACCAGACAGACGTTCTCTCTGCCGCGCAGACCCTCTGCTCTGCCTGTGTATTCATCCCTCCCAGCCCCTAGCCTCTGCGGCCGCCGGTCTTCTCACTGTCCCCACAGTTTGGCCGTTTCCAGCAGGTCCCGGAGTTGGAATCGTGCAGTGTGTGTAGCTCAGGTCGGCTTCTTTCCCCCCCCTCTCCCGTGTCTTCCCATGGCTCCGTGGCTCCTGTCTTCTTAGTGCTGAACGGCATTCCATTGTCTGGCGGAACCACAGCTTGTTCATTCTTCTCGGGAGGGAGGGAGGGACATCCTGCCTACGCCCAAGTTCTGGCGACCATAACAAGGTGACTCAGGGCACTTTCCATTACTGAGGCCAGCAGGGGGCGCCCAGTCACCCATCACCGTCCACAGACGTGTACATGTAGGAGCCTTCTGTGTCCAGTTCCTGAGAGATGGGCAGGAGCCACGCCATGCAGCTCCTCCCGGGAGCGTGTCGCTGTATTGGCTGTTTTGCATGCATCGTGTGCTCCTTTCCTCCCACAGCCCAGTGAGCTGGGCACTGCCCTGCCTTCACTTTGCAGGCAAGGAAATAGTCTCAATGCCATCAGGAAACTTGCTCGAGGTCACAGGGCTGGGACATGCCAGGGTCAGGACTCACACTGAGGTCGCTGCGATCCGAATGCCTGTGTTTTCTCGATGGCCCCCACTCCCTCTGGGGCCCAGAAGGGTAGCAGGGCCATGCCCAGCGCCAGACGACAGGCCCGTCGTTAACTTGGGCCGGGACAGAGCGACGTGTCTCCGTTGTCTGAGTGAGCCAGGCCCAGGGACAGCCCCCGCGTCACGGCAGGATGGCGGAGTCTGCCCTCCGGAGACCAGCCACGCTTTGGCTCTCCGCTGCGCACCTGACTCTCTGCGCCTCCGTTTGCCTGTTTATAAAACAGGGACACCCTGGCCGGTTTGGCTCAGCGGATACAGCGTCGGCCTGCGGACTGAAAAGTCCCAGGTTCGATTCCCGTCAAGGGCATGTACCTTGGTTGCGGGCACATCCCCAGTAGGGGGTGTGCAGGAGGCAGCTTGATCAATGTTTCTCTCTCATCCATGTTTCTAGTTCTCTACCCCTCTCCCTTCCTCTCTGTAAAAAGTCAATAAAATGTATTTTTAAAAATAAATAAAACAGGGACAACATCTCATAAGGTCGTTGTGAGGGTTAAACGATGGGAGGAGCACTGACCTGCCAGCGCCAGCGCCCTCACATCTCGTTGGCTTCCTGTGGCCACCAGGTGGGTGGCAGCACAGGGCGTACAGCCTGATGTGCTCACACCAGGGTGACTGGCCACAAACCGCTCTCCCCCCACCACCACCCCCTCCCCCCCCCCATCCCCATTTGGCAGCGAACGAGGTTTCTCAGCCGTGAGCATTCAGTTGGACTGAACCCGAAGAGCACTGGCCAGGCCACCCTCCTGGAGAGAGGACAATGGCCGAGTGTCCCAGCCGCCTCCTGGCCAAGCCAGGACTCAGCCCGGGTCCCTCTGACCTCCGAGCCCCTGCTCTGCACCACCACACTGCCTGCCTTTCAGGATGTTGTCCTGAGACTGCGGTCAGCAAACTGCGGCTCTCGAGCCACATGCGGCTCTTTGGCCCCTTGAGTTTGCTGGCTCTTCCACAAAATACCACGGCCTGGGCGAGTCTAAAGAAGTGGCATTAGAAGTTTAAGTTTAAAAAAATTGGGCTCTCAAAAGAAATTTCAATCATTGTCCTGTTGATATTTGGCTCTGTTAGACTAACGAGTTTGCCGACCACGGATCTAAGAGACAAAAGGGACCTCACAAGCGAGGTTTGTAAATCCCGAAATAAAGTCCCTGGGAGAGTCCCGGGAGAGGGGAGCCCCTTGCGTTGCTGGGCGATGTCGTAAGAGGTTGGAGCCGATCTGATTGGCGGAGGGCTGACTGTGCGCCCCGCTGGGGAGATAGGAAACGGCTAAGGAGGAGCCCTGAAATTTCGTTCCCGCGCCTCCCACCTGGTCTCTCGGTGCCTCTCGATAAGGAAGGAACAGACCCTGCATTTGTCTTCGCCAGCGCAGTTTGTGTGTCTCCTTCTGTGAGGCTTTGTCTCACAAAAGGCTCCCACGCAGGAGTCACTCTTTCTCTGATATCCGAGCTATGCAGTGTTTTTAAGTGGGGGAAAGCAAGCTGTAATACAATAGGCATGGGGTACTCCCAATTTTTTTTGTTTTTTAATGTCAGTATCTGATCAAAAGAAAAATCTGGAGAAAAAGACAAACCTGTGGAGAGTATTGTCCCAGCGTTTAGGGCCTCTCCTCTCCCTCATTCCACACTATCTATTGTGCGCCGGCCACTGAAGACACAGCAGTGCGCTTCCCCCGGGCAGGTTTCAGCAATGTCGGGCTTTTTGCAATGAGCACATGCAACTTGTGTAGCCAGAAATATGAGAAAGAATCATTCCTTCTCCCAAAGAGAGATCTCGTTTTGATCACTGTTCATCGTTGGATCTAGAAACATGATCTGTCTTCCCTTCAACCTCCTGGACTCCCTCCTGTCCCTAACCCTCCCTGGGTCCTCCCCAGAACTTGATCCTTCCCCGTGGGTCCCTGGGTCACAGGTGGTGGCGGAGCACAATCCCAGCCGCACCCCAACTTAGCCACCCCAAACCCAGGTGCACCTGGTTCTTACAGCCCACGCCTGGGCCACCCAGGCCGCCCCGCCCCCGGCCTTCCTGGTCTCCTCCCAGCGCTCCTCTCTGCACACTCGCTTCCCGTGAACTAACCCAGCCCTTTGCTCTGGAGTCTCCACTCTCTTTTAAAAGAGAAAGGCAGGCGTGGGTCTGAATTCTGATCCCTCCGCTTACCAGACCAGTAGTCTAACCTTGCTGAGCTTCTGGGTCTCACCTATCAATTCAAACACACTTCTTGCTGGGTTGCTCATAATGATGAAAAAATATGTGCAGATTCCTGGCTCGGTGCCTGGCACACAGTAGGTGCTTCATACCTGATAGCCATTACATCATTCTCACTCTTCCCTGGTGGAAGTTCTCAGAAAGTTCCATTGACGGAGATCAGGGCTCCGGCCCGGGCGTGTTCAGTTCCACATCCCCCTTCCTCCCTGTCCCCACCATTTCTCCCTTTCTCCCGCCCTCCCCACCGTGTTCTCCCTCCCTGGGCCCCCTCCTCTCTCCCCAGAGAGCTGTGCGCGCACGGTCCTGAACTGTGACCTCTGTCTCTGGCGCCTTCAGCCTTTCTTTTGTCCTCTCCTTTGTTCTCTTTCCCACCATGCAAGCTCTTCAAGGTGGCAGTTTTTCGCTGGAACCCCCTGCTTCTTAGCTCCCTTCCCGCTCCCCACACTCCTATCTCTCCGACGGCCTTGAAGAAGTGTGACACACCCTCTGTCTTCACGGCCCCCGTCCTGCTCTGTCTTTGCCTCTTTGCTTGGCCCCTGCTGAGTCACGGCCATGGAGCCCTCCTGCCCCGGCCGGCCTACCACCTTCCCCAGCCCGCGTCCTCTCTGGCCTACCCAACACGCTCGGTTCTCCATCTCAAAACCCTCTCACCCTGGGCCCTCCCGGGCCTGGCACACCTGCCTGTCTCCTGATGGTCTCGGTTGGTCCTGAGCAGCCCCTTCCTCCAGTCCTGTCCCTCCCCAGGTGTTTCCTCCAGGGCATCCACTGGTCCTCCTCTCTCACATCCTTCCTCCCGGAGAAACTCCCCGCTCCGCATGCCTCACCAGCCGCTCCAGGCAGATAGGGCCAGATGGGGCCACTGGCCGGGGCTAGGCCCACCAGGGGCCCACGGAGACCTTGGTGAGCTGGGCTGGTCTTGCCAACTGAGCATGCCCAGCTCTCTGCTGACCACCTCTCTGTAGGGTCCTTCCAGCTCCATGTCCTCCTTCAGGCTTTGGACCTTGGCCCTCAGTTTTATGGCTTTGCACACAGTGGGTGCTTAGCCAGTAGGTGTTCTGTTGACGGGTTCTCCTCTGCCGCCTCCAGAAAGAAACTTTTCTTTGAACCCATCCCAGCTGATCAGCCATCTTAGAAGCTCACATCTTCCTGATGGGCGTGCAGTGCTGCCCTCACCCACCTGCCGGCAAGCTCTGCCGAGAAGCTGTTTGGAAAGCAAAGGAGGTGAACTGAGTAGATGCTTACCTTCTTCTCGCTTCTCTTTCCAAGGGCTGTCTTTGTACCTGAAGCATCTTCTGGAACATTATAAAAACGTCTCCGTCCGGACCCAGGAACTGCAGGTAACCTTCCAGCTTCTGGGAAGGTCAGGCCGGCGCCTCCCCAGCGTTCACGCAGCGCTGTGCACGTTAACCCCGTCTACCTGTTAGCGGGTCAGTCCGCACCCTCCAGCAGGTGAAACCGTAGCTCTATCCGCATGTGAAGGGGTTCAGGCGGGCTGGCTGGGATGGCCCAGGACGGCCCAGCCAGGGTGCTCATTCCCTCTATCAAAACCCAGAAAGGGCCAAAACCAGTTTGGCTCAGTGGATAGAGCATTGGCCTGCAGACTGAAGGGGCCCGGGTTCAATTCCTGTCAAGGGCACATACCTTGGTTGCGGGCACATCCCCAGTGGGGGGTGTGCAGGAGGCAGCTGATTGATGTTTCTCTCTCATCGATATTTCTAATTCTCTATCCTCTCCCTTCCTCTCAGTAAAAAAAAAAAAAATCAATAAAATATATTAAAAACAAAACAAAAAAAAAAAAAAAAAAAAAAAACAGAAAGGCCTCAAAAGCCCTCAGATCTTGAAAACTGTGTTTATCAAATGCAGCGGAAGAGGTACAGCTGGCCAGAGTCTCGGCAGCGGGATTACCAAAACTGACATAATGTCAGCCTGTCAGAGGCAATGTGTCGCCCTCACGGTCATGGCCGTTAAATGCCATGTAACGAACACCCACACCACAGAGAGGCATTCCAGTCACTGCCCCGGCCTGCAGGCTGCCGCCGGGTCCCCGCTGACCCTCGTGGGTTTGCTCACTGTCTGCGCTGGCCTGCCCTCGCCGGTCCAGGCTGGCCCCCGCCGGAGCAGCTCTGCTCTGCTCAGGGCGTCCTCGCTCCCCAGGCTGGCCGGCCCGCGCATGCTCTTACGGTTGGCAGGGGCAAGAGAGAAGCAGGACCGGTCAGGGAGTGCTTCGCAGTCATTCTCTGTTCGTGTCATGGCTGTTATGTCCCATTGGCCAAAGCAGGTCACATGGCTGAGTGCAGTGTCACCGGGCAGGACAGGGGTGGACACTGACAGTCATGTAGCCAGAGACACAGGAGGGTGGAGTGTCCACTGTGGTCAGTCACGGGGTCAGCAACCTTTTTCAGTCAAGGGCCAGACGGTGAATAGAGATTCACAGATGGCTTTGCACGTCACGCAGTCTGTCACACCTGTTCGACTCCACTTCTGTAGAGCAGAGACACCACAGAAAACATGGAGCATGATGGGCAGGGCCCTCTTCCAATAAAACTTTATTTACAAAAACAGGCGGCAGACCACATTAGGCCTGCAGGCAGCAAACCGTCAACCCCAATCTAGTCCATTCTCCTTATTTTACAGATGTGGACATGGATGTCCAGAGGCCAGGTGCTTGTTTCAATGGCACACAGTTAGTTGGTGGAAGAATCAAGACGAAAGTTCAAGCCTTCTGGCCCTAGCTCCCTGCTTTTTCTTACACTCGGCAAATAACAATTTGCCGAGTAGACTCTGGCTACCATTTACTTTGCAACTACTTTGTGCTTAAAGCTTTTCATCACTACCTCAGTTAATCCTTAAAACACCATTATTGACCTCATCTTCTACACGAAGAAGCATCTAGAAAAAGCTAAAGCTAAGATTCTATCTAGATTTGGAGTCAGGGCTTCTAACCACTGCACTCTACTGCTTTCCTGCCAGTAACCAGGCTAAGCATAGATTTTCCTTGTGTTTAGGAAAGTTTCACATAAAGCTTTGTCCCTCCCCACAAAGGTAAACAATGTGTAAAAACAACAAACAAAACAAAACAAAAAACAACCATGGAAAAGACTCCTGCCCTTAGCCCTGTCCCCCATCAGCTTCAGTGTCCTTTTCTCTCCAGATCAAGGTCAGCAGTTCTCAGGAAACTCAAAAATCTTTGCTGCAAGAGACACAACAGGAGTATCTGGCAGAGAAGGAGAAGCTGAGCAAAGAGAGGCAACAGCAAGAGGAGAAGCTGACAGCCAGAGTCAAGTGGCTGATGGAAGAGAAGGCGGTAAGGTCCCTGTCATTATTTTTTTTTCTACTGAAAACGGAGGCCATGGCCTTTTCCATGACAAATTAAAAGCGTGTCCTTCGATGGAGAAACCTCAGCAAGTCCTCATTTGGTGTTAGGGAACTAAATTCCTCAAAGGAGTGAGTGATGTTGGAGGAGTTCACGTGGAGCTTGAATTCTGAAACTCAGAGCAAAACCACCTTGAAAAGGAAAGGTTATTGAAATTTCTAGAACCCGTAGCTCGTCTGTTTAAATGCTGCCTCTGATTTTACCGTCAGAGCTGCCATCGCAGGTCCTGGGTGGTTCTCGGTGTTTGTAAGACCAGCGTCGTGTCATCTCAGTCTTCTGCTTTCTCTTTGTACATTTTGATTCCAGCCTTTTGCTCTCCCCTCACACCTACCAAGGAAGACAAATGGCCAAAATAGCTGCTCACGTTTCTAGAAACCACGCCAAGTGCGAGAGAATTTTACAGGGGACTTCTCTAGCTCCGAGGTGCCCGAGGGTCAGCCAGGGGTCTTGTTAAAGCGAGGTCCTGACTCCGCAGGTGCAGGGTGCGGCCGGGCACCTGCATTTCTAACAAGCTCCCGGCTGGCTGCTGCGGCCGGGTCAGGTCTGCAGACCACGCGTCCAGCAGCAGCCTCAGAGGGAGGTTTTCCCGTGGCTGCCTGATGAGAACCGCCTGGGCACTGGTTAAAGCTACAGGTCTTGGGGCCCCACCGCAGACCCACTGAACTAGAATCCCTGGAGAAGGCCAGGAGCCCAGCCTCGGCTCTTTTTGATTTTTAGGGACCACCTCGATTTTAACCACCTCCTGGCCATCATCTCGGACTAGTGGCTAGGGACTTTGGCTGCCCTTTTGTCATTCAGATTAAAAAACAGGAATGCTCCACCTCTCTCCCTACCCCCCCCCCCCCCCCCCCCCCCCCCCCGGTTCTGGTCTAACTGGGGTGAGGGTGTGGCTCCTGCGCCAGCATTTGTCAGCACTCCAGGTGGTCCCACCACAGCCCACCCCTCCTCCCAGCCCCTCCAGACAGCAGCACAGATCTCCTGGCCCCAGCCCTTCCCCGGCACTTCCTTTCTTCCCCCAGGACTGGCCTGCCACTGCCTCCGTCTTTCAGGCACCAGAGCTCTGTGACCTCAGCTTAGTCTGTTCTGTCATACACACCCCCTCTAGACCCCTCCAAGAAGCAGAGACCTCTGCCTGTGTCATTCCATCCTCCAGTGTGAGCCGTCTCCTCCTCCTTTCTCCTCTTCTCTCTGTCCGTCTCCTCCTCCTTTCTCCTCCTCTCTTTCTCTGTCCATCTGCTTTTGGTGACATAAACGAATGAAGAAGGAGAACCATCTGCCCAACATCTCACCTGATCCCCATAGAGGCAATATTAGTGATAGACTTAAACCAAGGTGCACCATTTTTTATTTATTTAATGTTTTATATATTTTTAATTGATTTTTTTTTTTTTTTTTTACAGAGAGGAAGGGAGAGAGATAGAGAGCTAGAAACATCGATGAGAGAGAATCATCAATCAGCTGCCTCCTGCACACCCCCTACTGGGGATGTGCCCACAACCAAGGTACATGCCCTTGACAGGAATCGAACCTGGGACCTTTCAGTTCAGTTTGCAGGCCGACGCTCTATCCACTGAGCCAGACCGGTTTCGGCAGGTGGACCATTTTGAAGGACAATTAGATATGCAAAAAGCCAGTGTCCGGCAATAGAGAGGAAGCTAAAACCAGAAAAAGTCAAGTCTCCACCACTTTCCACTACTTCCTCTCTCCTCCTGATTAATCTACCCTTTCCAAATGGCTGCTTTCACTTTCTCTCTGGGGTTGGCTCTTCCCCTGTGGGTTCACGGCTGACCCCCACCATGTTCCACGCCACTGCCGGCACCAGCCTGGGCCTCCCAGACGCCCACTTATAACATCGACCCTGGCAGAGGCAGGGGTTCAAGGGCCGGCTTCAGTCCCTTTTAAACAAAACCAATGTCAGGGCCCACCACCCCCTGCAGAGGGGAAGCAGCCAGGTGACTACCCAAACAGACAGACACTGATCCAGGCCCCTGCTGTCCCATCCAGGGTCATCGCTCCCAGACACTTAGTGTTGACAGCTGGACCCCACCCGCTCATCAAAAAGTGCTGTCTCAGCCCTAGCTGGTTTGGCTCAGTAGATAGAGTGTCGGCTTGTGGACTGAAGGGTCCCGGGTTCAATTCCAGTCAAGGGCATGTACCTTGGTTTGGGGCACATCCCCAGTAGGGGGTGTGCAAGAGGCAGCTGATCGATGTTTCTCTCTCATCGATGTTTCTAGCTCTCTGTCTCTCTCCCTTTCTCTCTGTAAGAAGTCAATAAAATATATTTTTTTAAAAAGTGCTGTCTCAGACTCAGCACCAGGCGTCCCAATTTTAAATGCACCTTTTTCATGCCGCGTGATGCAGGACGGTGTGTCAGAATTTACTCATGGGCGCTGGCTTGTCTGAGGGCTCTGTTTCAATGATAAGAAATTTCCTTCACCGAAGTTCCAATCTTTTGTGTTATCATCTGTTCACAACCCTCACCTGATTGCTGCACGCACTAATGGCTTAGATCCCCGCTGGCGAGCTTTCTCCACAAAAAGCCAGACGGCATAGACTTCGAGCTTTGCAGGTCATGCGGTCTCTGCCGTGGCTGCTTAGCTCTATCATTGTACTGTGAAGCAGTCATAGGCAATCCACAATGAGCAAGGAGGTGTTCCAATAAAACTTTATTTACAAAAAGCAGGCAGAGGGCCAGATCTGGCCCATAGACCATCGTTTGCTAACCGTGGTTTAGAACGCAGGCTCCAGAGTCAAATGGGCCAGCGTCTGAATCCCTGCGCGTGGTTAACTAGGCAGATTCCTTCCCTCGCTTTCCTAGTTCCTCCTCTGCAAAGCAGAGATGACAGAGAAATGACAGCCCTTTTCACGAATGGCTATCATGTGCCCAGCGTTTCATGTTTATCATCTCATCTGCTCCTCACATCCACCCAATGCAGGAAGCACCATGGCTGTCCCCACTGTACAGACAGGGAAACTGAGGCTTCTGTAGCTTCCCACTTGCCCAAGGTCACACACCGGAGGGATGGACCTGGGGCTGGGATCTGAGCTGCCGGTCAGAGCCCCAGGTTCTCCTGCTTGCTGACCGCTGCAGGGCCTGGCGCAGAGCCAGGTTCCTGCCATAGTAACCAGGGCTGTTAAACAACGCCCATTGACTTTCAGGCTTTGGAGGAGAGAATTACCGAAGAGAAAAACAGAGCGAAAGAAGCTCTAGAGGAAGAACAGAAGAAAGTCCAGGAGCTGGAGGATCGCTTAAGCCACCAGAGGAAGGTATACAGCTCGGGGAGACTGAGTCTGTCTGGGCCCCAATCCAGGCCACGCCACGAGCAGGGGCTGGCCCGGGCCCTGACTGACCGGGGTTGCCCACCCCCGTCCCGGGCTCTCCGCGGCCACGGCCTCCCGTGCGGTGCGCTGAGCTGTGGAGCACTAACGGACACGGCGCCTGGCACCGAGTCCAGGTCCCTGCCTGGTAACCAGGTCTGTTAAGCAGCACCTGTTGGCTTCCAGGCTTTGGAGGAGAGCTTTATGCAAGAGAAAGGCAGAGTGAAGGAAGCACTGGACGAAGAACAGAGGAGAGTCTACGAGCTGGAGAACCGCTTAACCCGCCAGAAGGAGGTAGGCAGCTCGGGGGCGGTCAGCTGCAGCCCTGACCGGCCCGAGGGCCGTGGAAGTGCACTCAGAGCCACAGATGTGGTGGGCGGGGTGGGGGCAGCTCCCCCAGAGTAAGTTGTCCTCAGGGGGCTCAGCTACTTTGGGGAGAGGCCTGAAGGCTCTAGGAGAGAACCATAGAGTCGTAGCCTTGACAACCAGTTGGAGAGTTATAAACAGCATAAAACACAGCCCCCTCCCATTGTCCTAACCAGACTCATTAGTCAACAGCGCCAAATATCAACATTTCAATAATTGAAATTTCTTTTGAGAGCCAAATTTTTTAAACTTAAATTTTCTTCTAACACCACTTCTTCAACATAGACTCGCCCAGGCCGTGGTATTTTGAGGAAGAGCCACACTCAAGGCGCCAAAGAGCCGCATGTGGCTCAGGAACCGCAGTTTGCCGACCACGACCCTAACCAGTTTGGCTCAGTGGATAGAGCTTCGGCCTGCGGACTGAAAGGTCCCAGGTTTGATTCCAGTCAAGGGCATGTACCTAGGTTGTGGGCACATCACCAGTAGGGGGTGTGCAAGAGGCCGCTGATCGATGTTTCTAACACTCCTCTCCCTTCCTCTCTGTAAAAAAAATCAATAATATATATATATATATATTTTTTTTTTTTTTAATAAAATAAAATGAAAGACAGCCCCAGGCAGGGCTTGGGAGAGAGGCTGGGCCTGGGACATGGCGTCTTCCACGTGGAGATTGGAACCAGAGCGCAGGGCTGGGGCAGTCACGGAGCTCTGGACTTCGGGGCTGGGCGGATCCTTCAGCAGCTTCCTGCCGTCACCCAGCCTCCCTCTCCCACCTCCAGGGAGTCTTCCCACCCAGGGCAGCCCACCAGGATGGGCAGGTTCCACTATTAACGGATTCTCTGCTCATTGGGAGGCTGCCCGGCACCGAAATCATTCAGGCCTGGCCCCCTGCCCTCCTGCTGCCTCCGAGGCCTGCGTGCAGGCGGCTCTCTCCTCGCACAGGGCTCCGATCCCCGCCCGCCGCCAACAAACTGCGTGGCCCTGAGGCTCGCCCCGACTTCCTGTCCTCGGTTTCTCACCCAGGAAATGGGGCGTACCTTCTCTGAGAGGGCTGCTGCGAGAGGGGGGTGCAGGCCGCGGGCCTGGCCGGTAAGACCACCCCGGCCCTTAGCTCAGCGTCATTCTCAGCGTCATCGGAGTGAGAGACCTCGGCACATCACTGGCTCCGGTTTGCAGGTTTTGGAGAGCAGCGTGGCCCACGAGAGGAAAGTAAAGGAGGCCTTCGAGACCGAAAAGAGGCGCGTGCAGGACCTGGAGAACCAGCTCACCCAGCAGAAGGAGGTACGGGGAGCGGGCCCCAGTGGAAGGCCCCGTGCCTCTGTGCCCGCTTGTGTGTGCTGGGCACGTGGGCCGGTGCAGGCAGTGCCAAAGTGGCCGGCATCACCTCATCCAGCTTCACAGCGGCACGGCCTGGGGCAGATCACTTAACCGTCTGTGCCTCAGTTTCCTCATCGGTAAAACGGGAGTGCTGACAGACATGCCTCTGGGAGCTAATAGGTATCAAGTACTCGGAGCCACACGGCGCACACAGGTGACTGACTGCCCAGGGAAGAGAGAGGATCCCCAGGGGATGACCCCGGGGTGGAGTCGGGGTCAGGCCCTCAGCCAGCTCCCCCTCCTCATCACCTTAAGGCACTTATGATGCGATCCAGCAGGGATGCCAGAGGAATAACTCCCCCAACCCACGGCTGCGTGTGCCCCTCCCCCAGAAAGGAGACACACAGACTCGCAGTCAGATGGACGAGAGAGGAACATAACGAGCTCACGTGGTGGTCACAGCAATGACCGGGGCTCAGGGCCTTCTGGAGTGGATGGGGAGGAGAGGGAGTGAGGGGGGGAGGAAGGGGATGTCTGAGCTCCAGGCCCAGCAGAGCTGGGGGCACCCACACCCAGCCTCCCCCAGGGGTCCTCAACGAAAGACAGGGCACAAGAGCCCCTAAGGTGAGGGGCAACCAACCACCTGAACATGCACAGGGTGGCTCCCGGGGGGAGGCCCTGCAGCAGAGAAGGCGCCTCTGGGGAGATGGCCTGGAGGAGAGAGGGAGCACCTAGGAGAGAGAATGTCACTGGACCAAGCGGCCATATGCAAAAGACAGGGACCTGAGTTAGACCGGGGCAGGGCAGGGACATAAGGAACGGAATTGAGGCTGGAGCAAATGGAAGCCAAATTAGGGCAGGGGAGGAAGCGGGAGACAGAGTGTGTGCCAGGAGAGCATGGTGGGCTGCAAGTGTCCATTCTGGGTCAAATCCCAGCCCTGCCCTACATGCTGGGCGACCCTGGGCAGGCCCTGCCCTCTCTGTGACCTGTCTGCGATGTGCACGTCATGGCAGAACCACCTAGAGGTTTGCTGTGAGGAGTCAGTGCATTCATTGTGAAGCGCCCGCCAGGGGAGGGCAGAGTCTAGGGGGGTAGGGAGGATGGTGTGCCCAGCAGAGGGGAGAAGAGAGGGGGTGGAGGGTGAGGAGTGGGGGGGAGGGAGGAGGGAAGGGGGCCGACAAGCGAAGACCTTGGCAGCAGGACTGTGCCAGGCAGCGCAGGGAAGTGAGATCAGATTCCTGGTGGGTGAGGGAGCCCCGAGCAGGCCTTTTCAGGGGTCGGGCCCAGACTCTGGGCGGCGGCTGGCCCCTGACTCCCTTACGCGGTGGCCCGGGTGGGTCTGGGAGCTCAGGCTCCTGCTGGGCGGGTGGCAAGCCCTGTGCCCGCTTACGTGTGGACGTAGACGCATGTCTCCTGCCGCCAGGGAGGGTGGGGTTTGAGTCAGGACAGGTGAGCAGGGTCAGAGGCCAGTGTCAGAGTAGGGAGGGCCGTGTGACCACATGACTTTTTCCTCCCGCCTCACTTGCAGCCTCCATGTCCTCGCTTGTAAAATGGGGGTTACTGGGCAGATGCTGCCGGGGGTTGCAGATTAGATGCATTCATACTTTGGCCCACGGAGCTGGGCACCACATTGCAAGCACTTACTGGTAAAGATGCCGATTATCACATTATTATTATTTGCACCTGGAACGACCAGGCCACACCTACTGAAAGAAGGGAAGGAGCCCTCCGGACACAGACTCTTACAGCAGGAAGGACGTAGACTGGCAGGGTGGGGGCTGGACCTTCGGAGGCAGGCTTGACCGTAGGAAAATGCCAAACCCGGCAGGGAGATGAGGCAGGGCCCTGGTGGGCCCGGGAGGTCTGAGCGCGGAGCTGGGCAGTTGGATGGGGGCCACTGAAGCTGCTGGAACAGCGGGGAAGCTGGTCTTTCTCCAGGGCCACGCATCCCAGAGTTTCACCCCATGCTCCCTCACCACCACCACCACCACCACCAGCATCGCATCCCCTATAACAATGTCCAGTAGCTTTTTTTTCTTTTTGCTAAATGATGCGTGTTCACTAAAGAAAACGTACAAGATATAAAATAGTGGAAAGAAGAACATGTAAGTTGCCATAATCCCAACTCCCCCCAAATTAAAATCTTGGCACAGACCTCTCCAGTGTTTTGTCTGTGCCTGTATGTATATATTTTACATACTTTTCTTGAGAGCTTTATGTGTTTATGGGGGCAAGAGTTCCACCAGCCAGAACTGGAGTTCTCCAGCCTCGCTCTGCCCATCAACCTCCCGGGGCTTGTGTGGCTGAGGCTGGGTCCCGACCTCCTCCCCATCACCAGACCTTGCCGGGTACGTGTTCCCAGTGCCAGACAGTCCTGGACATCCGCTTTTGGACCCAAGCCCTTGTAGGCCACGTACAGACCACCAGGTGCCAGGCCTGCAGGGGCAGGGGATGTGTGCCCGGCTCTGTCAATCGTGCCCCGCCTCCCAAGGAGCCGTGTACTTCCAAAGAAGGCCACACTGGGGCCGGCACATGTCCGTTTACTCAGTGGCTCAGAGCCAAGCGCCTAGAGCCAAACACTCACCAGCACGTCACTTCCCGAACGCCAGCCCCAGATTCCTGCACGACGAGAGCTCTCCCTGTGACGCGCATGACTAAGACGTGACTGCCAGGTTCTCACCTCTCTCCCGTGGGCAGCCTGACCCTGCAGCTCTCGCTCCCAGCCCCTGCCTCACCGGTTTCAACAGTTACGAATCCATCTCCCTCTCTCCCTCGTGCATAAGCCCTCAGACCACTCGTCCTTGACTTCCAGATATCAGAGAACAGCATCGCCCAGGAGAGACAGAAGGCGAGGGAGGCCATCGAGAAGGAAAAGAAAAGGGTGCAGGACCTGGAGAACCGCCTGACCAGGCAGAAAGAGGTACGGGCCCGGCGAGGAGAGGGCGGAGGAGCAGGCAGGGTTAGGAGCAGGCCTGGGAGGCAGGCGGTCAGGCCCACCTCTGCCGCTCTCTGGCTGTGGGACATTAGGCAAGTTGCTCACCGTCTCTGTGCGTTGGTTTCCACACTCAGGGAAACACAGACGATCCCCAAAGATCAGCCTCCTTGGGCTGTGAGGCCCCATTGTTAGCGTGCACACAAAGCACACAGAACACCCTGGCACCCCGAGAATGAAGTTAATAATAATTATCATCATTACTGAGAGCTCACAGCCGGGAAGCAGAGGGGCGGGATCCAAACCAGGACCATCTGACGCCGGAGCCCTTCACCGTCACGCCGCCTCGTGGCGCTGTGTGGCTCTGCCGCCGGGGTCAGAGCGGGGTCAGGGTATGGACGCCTGACCTTCTCATCACCGTGATGTCATTTCTCCACCAGAACTTCTCCTGATCGTCATCATCGCCTTCATGCCAACCCCCATGTATGAGTGTCACGGGGAGTCACAGGCGCAGTAGGGGTAGAAGTTGGCACATGGCCCCGCCCTGGGCACCTCCACGCTGTGGGGTGTAATTCACAATTCCTGAGTCCCAACGGTACAAGGGGAACACACACTCACACATACAAACACATTCACACACACACACTCACACATACAAACACACACACACACACTCACACATACAAACACACACACACACACTCACACAAACACACACACACAATAGCCAATATCTCAATGGTCAGAGCAAGCAATAAACACACAGCCTGACAATAGGGGTTTAACTTTAAATAACACTTAAGTTACTTAGATACAGGTAAATACAAATTCAGAAGGTTTTCAAGACCAGATGGAACTAAAGTCTATTCACGTCAGTCCTGGATGATTTTTCCCACGAGAAAGGTTCTCAAACGTCAGCCTGGGTAGAGTCAGCTGAATATAAGAGGGAGCTCTATACTGATAGGAACCTTCCGGAGAAGGCATGGACTTGGACTTCAGAGGGACCGAGGGAACAGTGCCAGGACAGGGTCACCCCCTCTGAGCACCGGGGGTGGGGGGAGTGGGAGGCGGTGAATATTCCTTCCCGGGTTTCTGGTGACTTGGGGTCTGTTGCTTGTCTAGGAAATGGACCTGAAGGGGCAGAAGGAAGACGTTCTGAATAACAAACTAAAGGACGCGCTGGCGCTGGTGGAAGAGAGCCAGAGGACAAAGGCAGCTGAGAGTCTGAAGGCGGAGAGCCTGGCCATGAAGCTGAACGAGGCGCTGGCAGAGCTGGAAACCGCCAAGACAAAGATGGTGAGAGGCAGACTTCTCCTCTCGGCACAAGGTCACAGCTGTGAGCACGCGGCTCAGAAATAGGGCGGGGCAAGGGGGGGGGGGGATGGTGCTTGGCCTCCACGCTGCTGCCGAGGCTCTGGGTCCGACAGGCCTTCCCTGGGGGACCCTCCTGTGACTGTCCTCAAACTGTCCTCAGACTTCACCAAATGTATGTGAGTTTTTCTCAGGCAGAGCATTGGCCCATGTTCTGCCTGAGGAAATCAAGCCTGGAGGCCCAACAAGTAGCAGGGACTGAGCCTATACTCAGGGCATGTGCCCTGACCAGAAATTGAACCGTGACCTCCTGGTTCAGAGGTCAACACTCAACCACTGCGCCACATGGGCCGGGCCATCCACTTTTTTTCTTATAAAATCATCAATTCAATGAATCTTTACTGAGCATGTGGGCCCCGTGCTGTGGCAGGGATCTGGGCACTGAGGGTGCTGGGTGTGTTGGTAAACTTAAAAAGATCAGTACCCGCTGTCATGGAGCTTCCGTGCTGGTGGGAGTGAGAAGCAAAGACCCGGGGTCATTCGGACGGTGCTAAGTGCCTCAGAGGCAACGAAACAGGACGATGGAACAGAAAGGGCCACAGGTTGCTGCTCTGGATGGGCAATCAGGGAGGGCCTCCCTGCGGAGGTGGCATTGGCGGCCTGAAACTCGGGAAGGAAGCAGCCACGCAGGGAGCCAGGGAGGCAGCGCAGCACGCAGAGGGGACCCCACGCGTGCAAAGGCCCCGAGGAGGGACCACGCACTCCCGGTGGCTGCGGAGGCCGAGGGGACGTGTTACCGCCGTCACTGTCGGAGCAGCCGCTGGGGGCTGCACTGACATCCCCGTCCCCCCAGGTCATGATGGAGGGGCGGATCCAGCTGCAGCAGCAGACCATCAAGGCGCTCCACGAGGAGCAGGAGTCTCAGAAGCAGGGCTTCGAAGAGGAAGTCGCCGAGTACAAGGAGCAGATCAAGCAGCACTCCCTGACCATCGTGAGCCTCGAAAAGAAGCTCCAAAAAGTGACGGAGCATCACAAGAAAATAGAGGAGGAGATCGCAGCCTTGAAGGACAACGACCTGGGTAGGTCCCAGGAGACCCGAGGACCCTTCGTGCGGGGGGCAGGTTCCGGTCGTCCTGTGGGTCCCCAGGGGCCGATGGGTAAGGAACGGGCTTCTGCTCGCGGAGAAGCTCGCTCACTCCCTGGCGCCCCCTTTCGTTCTTGTGACACAACACAGTCGGGGGGCCCTCGAGGCCCAGGGGCGACCGAGCTGACAGCGAGGAGTGGGGCAGCCTCTGTGCCCGGCCCGGCACCGGCAGCGGGGAGCGCCGGCTGCCGGCTGTCAGGGCCGTCGGAGCGGCGTGGCAGGCACCGTCTCCTCTACGTGAACTCCCGGCAGGTGCCTTTCACAGGCCTCCCTCTGCCGTTGTCGTTCGTGACTTTGTCTGATGCACTTTCGTAGCGGTCGGGGTCTGTTTCCTAAAAGCCAACCCCCAGAGGCACTCGGAGTGCTGAGCGTGTGTTTGCCCTAAACGACCCAGACACCAGCTGCCTGGAGAGGCCCTCCAGCTCCGCTACACGTCAGGGGTATTCACTGCACTTGTCAGAGGAGAGTTCTGGAAGCCAAGGCCCCAGGCCAGGGTCAGCCTCAGCACTAGTGACATTTGGGGCCCGATAATTCTGTGGGGTGGGGGCCGTCCTGGGCACTGTAGGGTGTTGAGCAGCATCCCTGGCCTCTACCTGCTAGATGCCAGTGCCACCGCCCACCCCAGTGTGACAACCACAAATGTCTGCAGGCATCGACAACTAAAAACTCACCCTGGTTGAGAATCATGGTCCTGGTCCCAAGCCGGCCGACGAGCTGTCAGGGCTCACCTCATGCATTTATTCACTCAACACACTTCATGGAGCATCTGTTATGTTTCAAGTTCATTCTGGGCACCGAGGGTTCAGTGATGGGCAAGCAGGCAGGGTCCCTGCAGTTAACCCAAATCCTGCCCTGACAGGTGACCCATGGTCAGCCGGGCACCATGGGCAGGTCCAGGTCAGAGGGAGGATGCTGAAGCTAGGACCTGAAGGGTGACAGCTTGGTCACTCCACACTTAGACCACAAAGTACTGAACATTGAATGAATGAATGAATGAGTGAGTGAGCATGTGACTGAGTGGTGAGGGTGGAAGCCGAAGGCAGTGGGAGTAAGTGGAGGATGTAGTAAGGACACGACTCTTGTCTGAGTGCAGAGGAGGAAGTAGGGCGGGCGGTGTGAGCCAGTGGTTAGGGCTCCACCCCTCACCCGCTTGCTGAGTGGGCACAGGTTCCGTCACTCCTGTGTCCACTTCCTCGTCTGTATGGAGTTAATGACCTGTGCCTTAGCAGCGGGGAGGACCTTATGAGCTCAGGGAGGGTGGAGAGTCCTCAGCCTGTGACATGGAACTCGTGGTGGGTCCCGTTAGGGGGGAGAGTGTGTAAGTGGGGGAGATGCAGGCGCGTGGATGGGTTTCTCTGTTTCGGGGAAAGAAGGCCCGGGTTGCGGGACTGTAACGATGTCCGCATGTCCCTGATTCAGCCCAGGAGAAGGGAGCGCAGCAAGACCGCCCGCCGGGGCCCCCGCCGGAGAGCCGCACCAAGGACGCAGTGTGTGACCACATGATGTGAGTACCCTCAGGCCTAGCCCTGCCCCGGCGTGCACGCCAGCAACGGCAATCCCACCGAGCCCCCACTTCCGGCCTCTGATAAAAGATGTGGAGTCCGGGGTCTTCTTGTTGTTATTTGAGTTTAATTTTTTTTTAATATATTTTTTATTGACTTTTTACAGAGAGGAAGAAAGAGGGATAGAGAGTTAGAAACATCGATGAGAGAGAATCATCGATCAGCTGCCTATTGCACACCCCCTACTGGGGATGTGCCCGCAACCAAGGTACATGCCCTTGACCGGAATCGAACCCGGAACCTTCCAGGCCACAGACCGACGCTCTATCCACTGAGCCAAACCGGTTTCGGCGAGTTTCTTGATTCTTTTCGCAAGTCAGGATGATGTCATGGAAAAGCCTGGGTGGATCCGTGTTCAAATCGCAACCCAACCCTCCCCAGCTGTGTGATGCCGGACCTCAGCTTCCTCACCTGTGACACGAGGGGGCTCAGGCCGGGCGCAGCGAGGTCCAGGTACACGCTGGCTAACACTGTGGGGGGCAGTGATCGCGGCAAGCCGAGGGCGGAGGTTGCCAGCAGTGGAGACCACGTGGTAGACAGGTCCTAGAGGGGGTTCAAAGGTCAGAGGTTGGACTAAATGACTTTGAAGATCCCTCCCAACCCCAAAGCCATAATTCAGCCTCAGACAGAACCCAACCAGGGTCCTTTGTTCTATCTCAATGTATTTCTCTCTCTCTCTCTTTTTAATATATTTTAACTGATTTCAGAGAGAGGAAGGAAGAGGGAGAGACAGAAACATCAATGATGAGAGAGAATCACTGATCAGCTGCCTTCTGCACGCCCCCCACTGGGGATGGAGCCCACAGCCCAAGCAAGTGCCCTTGGCTGGAATCGAACCCTGAACTCCTGGTTCATAGGTCGATGCTCACCCACTGAGCCACACCAGCTGGACACAATGTGTTTATCTTCAATGATGTACATTAACATGAATTTTGTTTTGAGAATTTTTAAAGCCCCTGATTACCCCGTTGCTGGGACCAGTGTCCCATGGACCATCACTGATGGAGCGTCACTAGGCATTTGTGCTTGGTCCCTCCCAGGCCCCTGAGACACCACGGAGATGGGGCTGACCCGGCTCTGCCTGTTTTTTGTAAATTGCAGAGAGGACTTGTTGACTGCTCAGAAGGAAATCCTGTCTCAGCAGGAGGTCATCATGAACTTAAGGAAAAACCTTACGGAAGCCCACAGCCGGATGTCAGATCTGAGAGGTCCGTATGCTTGCCTGGGTCCCTTGACTTCCCTGCCCACTTTGAGGAAGGAAAGAAACGGGGCCGACGAGTCGGAAAGCATGGCATTGAGGCCCTGCTCGGTCTGCTTTCCCGGGCGGCCACAGCACTTGTGGCGGGATCAGCAAAAGCCCTGTCTGACTGTGGCCCTCATTCCCTATCAAATGGCCGAGGGTCACTCCCCAGAGGGCGCTGGACCTCTGCAATGAGGTGCAGCTCCCCTTTTCGAGGCGAATTTCCTGTCACCGCTGAGAATTTGTCCCCAGGCTCCCTCCTGGGGCATAGCAACCTGCACAAGCCCTAACACTCACCAGCTTTGGGACCCAGGGCCAGGTCATTCCTTCCAGGGTCCCCTCCTCAGATGTGAAATCACCTGCAATTCACCTGCTTCCCGGGCTGATGTGCCCATCGGGGCCACCTAGAGTGGGGTGAAGTACTCAGAGCTTTGGGGTGCCCAGCTGAGGGTGAGGGAGCGGCTGCGTGCTCGTTGGCACCTGTCATTGGCTGGAGGCTGTTGCACCTGAGCAAACACATGAGGAGCAAATTCCAGAGGCCTGAGAACACCCTTAGATACAGAGTGGCAGAAGCGGGCAAAGGGAAGTGGGCCGAGTGCCCCAAAGGGCCATAGGGACACGGGCGGGTCAGACAGCACCTGTGGGTAATACAGCCTAAGGCAGGGGCACACGGGCCTCAGAGAGCCGGCGCTCACGTGAGTTGTTTGCTCAGACGCCAGCAGACCTCCTGGCTGTTGCTGAAGCCCCCGGAGAATTCCTGGAGGGCCGGCCCTCCTCGCGGCTCTCAAACCCGGGCAGAGAGAGGACCCTGCTGTGGCCCTCGTGGGGACCCCAGGCGGAACACCTCCTCACCAGCTTTCATGTCGCTCCCAGGGGAGCTTAGTAAGAAGCAGAAGGTGGAACTGGAGAGGAACGTGGCCCTGGTCCAGCAGCAGAACAAAGAGCTGGGGGCGCTCAAGGAGAAGATGGCCCAGGTGACAGGCCTGGTGGAGAAGAAGGACCGGGAGCTGGAGACCCTCAAGGAGGCACTCAGGTGTGTGAGAAGGCCTGCATGGCGTGCTGAGCCCGGGTACACTGAGCGCCCCGGGGTACACCTGAGCGCCCCGGGGTACACCTGAGCGCCCCGGGGTACACCTGAGCACCCCGGGAACCTTGCACAGAGAAGGGGTCAGTAAGTGCTGAGAGAGGAGTGGGATGGATGGATGGATGGATGGATGGATGAAGAATGAATGAATGGCCTGTATCATTGCTTCACAGCCTTATCAGGTAGAACAGGCCTTTGCTAAGTCCTGTGCTTCTCAGAGATTCCTGCCCAATATTCCAGAGGACAGGTTTCAGCTTAAATGCCACTTCCTCCAGGAAGTCCTCTGTCACTCACCCTCCCCAAATATGGACAAGAGCTCCTGCTCTGCCTGGGCCCCTCAGCCCCGCACTTCACCTAACCCAATGGTTGGCAAGCCCACTAGTCAACAGAGCGGCATGTGGTTCGCAAGCTGCTGTTTGCCAACTACAGACCTAACCTAACTTCTCAGTCAGGCTGTGTTTAATTGCCCATTCAATGACCTGCCTTCCCCCTGAGGACAGACCTTGCCTGGTATTGCCTCCCAGCATTCCCTGAAGGAAATCAATAAACATTGATTTAAATTTTAAATTGTTAAATGTATAGACTGGGGGTGTCAGAGGTCAGCTCCAAGTAAATATTAAATATCCCCATCCCATGGATTTATCTAAAAAGTGCATGTGGCTTTGCATTTTCATCCATAGCTTGTCCAAATTTTGACATGATGTTTTCCCCAAGAAAGTGTGAGTTAAACCGATGTCTTGTGTAGACCCCGTAGCTTCTTGTGCCTCGGGGCCCTTGGCCAAAGCAGATCACACATCGGTTCAAAGAGCGGGCTCCAGCCCCGTGCAGTCTGCCTTCAGAGTCAGGCATGTCCACTGACAAGCTCCGTGACCGCGGGCAAATGGCTGTGTGTCTCTGTTCCTGCCCGTCAGGGGGGGTCAGGAGAGTCCCCAGCTCATGGGGCTGCTATGAGACCCAGAAGGGCTTACCCGTAAGAAAGCAGGAAATGGCATGCAAACAACAAACATTCCCATCCATGGCACACACAGCAGGTGCCCCGCAGACCCAGGGGGAAGCCAGGGCAGCTGGGTACCCACCGCCCTGGCCACTCTCCTGCAAGTCCCCTGAGACTAAACTCTCCAGCGACCTGTGGGCAGGAGACCTGAAGGCTGGGGGACTTCAGTTACCTGTAAAAATGGAGCTCCTGTTCTTGTCCTGTGGGGGCTGGGCAGGGAGAGGCGAGGGGGGCACTCGTGGCTCCCGGAACCCTGAGCAGCCCGTGACGCGTCGCCTCTGCCCCAGGGCCTGCCAGGAGAAGCGCAGGCCCCCGCCGCCCAAGGAGAAGCCCCCGAGGCCCAGGAGCACGGCCCAGACGTGCGGCATCCCCGTGCAGATGGAGCCCGTCCCCACCGACACTTGCGTGAGCAGCCAGGAGGTGAGTGCCCGCCCCGTCCCGGCCCCCAGGAGGACAGGCTGGGGCCTCGGGAGCCCCGTGGCGGCTCTCTTGGCTCTGGAAAACATTCTCATCCTGAGTTCCCAAAACAGTGCATCCTTCTGTGCCAGGTGCCAGTAAACCAGCAGGAGTCCTGCCCCTCCAATGCCGTCACCAGAGGTGCCAGCTGTCAGCAGGTTGGCACATCCTTATACAGCGTAACTGGGCAGTGGGTGGAGACCCGGCTCGGGTCTGGTCTGCTGGGGTCCTCTTCTCAGAAACCGTGACCTCAGGAGGTCACTGAGCCAATCCCCTCTTCCGGAAAGTGGGAGAAATAACACTCACAAGTCACCTCGTGGGGTTGTTGAGAAATACCTTTTATTTATAAACTCAACACACACACATACCTATACAGATAGGGGTTGGGAAAAGTAGACTCACAGTTGTTCGTGTGGAACGTAATACAATAATCTATAGTAATAAAAGCGTAATATGCTAATTAGACCAGACAGCCGAACGACCTTCTGGACATCCTTCCGGACAACCGGACGAAGCCGGGGCTGCGAGGGCCGAGGCAGGCTGCCACGGCTGTGAAGGCCGAGGCCAGCCGCTGCAGCTTCAGGGGCCAAGCCCCCTGTATAAATTTCGTGCATTGGGCCTTTAGCTAATAAATTATGATACAAGAATCAACTGTCTCATGTACTCACAGATGTAAATGTACTTTGCGTCCCACCCTGTACATACATTTATTTTTTAGCTTTTTAAAAATATATATATTTTATTGATTTTTTTTTTACAGAGAGGAAGGGAGAGGGATAGAGAGCTAGAAACATCGATGAGAGAGAAACATCAACCAGCTGCCTCCTGCACACCCCCTACTGGGGATGTGCCCGAAACCAAGGTATATATGCCCTTGACCGGATTCGAACCTGGGACCCTTCAGTCCGCAGGCCAACACTCTATCCACTGAGCCAAACTGGTTTCAACTTAGCTTCTTTTTTAATTTTTTTTAATTTTCTTTATTGATTAAGTTATTACCTATATTACCTCCTCTTTCACCCCCTCCCCGGCACATGTATTTATTTAAGAGATTTATTTTTATTTTTTGCAAAATAATGGTATCAAGCCATATATATTCCACAAATTGGTTTTCCCCACACATAATTATTTAAACGGGCATCTTTTCAGGTAAGACCTACCTCATGCTTTTAAATGTCTGCATAGAATCCTCTGCGTCCCTTTTGTCCAAGCAGCCCCCTGTTGATGGAGATTTGAGTGGCTTCTGTGTTCCCACATTATTGTAGTTAATACTGTGTCCTGCCTAGCCAGTTTGGCTCAGTGGATAGAGTGTCGGCCTGCGAACCAAAGGGTCCTGGGTTTGATTCCAGTCAATGGCAGGTACCTTGGTTGCAGGCTCCTCCCCGGCCCCAATCCTGGTCGGGGCATATGTAGGAGCAACAATCCGTGTGTTTCTCTCACATGGATGTTTCTCTCTGTCTTTCCCTCTGTCTGCCACCCTCTCTAAAAATCAGTGGGAAAATATCCTCAGGTGAGGATTAACAACAACAACCAAAACACTGTATCTAAACTGCTGGGTCCAGAGGACGTCCGAAATTGCGCTCGGTAGGGCCACACTGCCTTCCCAAAGAGCAGCACCATCTGTGCTCTGCGGCTGTCCCCTGACCCTTCTCTCGGGCCCCCACCCAGAGTCCTCTCTGGGCCTGAAGTCCCAGCCTCGCAGCAGCAGGGAGTGCGTGTGAGAACAGCCTCAATCACGCCGCCCTCGCCCTTGGAGGTGGCACTCAGGTTCTGCCCCGGGGCTGGGGCTCTGATGCTCCGGTTGCCCGTGGAGACCGGATGTGGGTCCGGTGCTCCCTGCAGGCCCCGGTTCCCTGGAGGCCCCGGATGTGAGTCCCCGGATTTGCTCTATGAAACTAGAGAGCAGGGCGCCTCAGTCACGGGCTTTGGATTCTCACTTGGAAACGGGGCCAAATGTGTCAGCCTGCCTTCCTGCTTCCTCACAGATGCCTCTCTCCTGCCAAGCAGCAGCGAGCCAGGCCGCACACGGCTCTCACGGAAGGGCTCGGTGGCCCAGCAGCTGGCCTTGGCACTGACCGCTGCCCGGGGCCCTTGGACAGCGTCTCCTCGCCGCTCAGGGTGGCCTTGAGCTGGGGCTGCAGCGGGTCCGTGGGCTGAGCTCCAAGGGGGAGAGAGCAAACAGGTCTCCCTCCTGCCGGAACCCCAGGCGCTTAGTGCAAGACCTGGCCCATGTCCAGTCACTCTCTCAGCAACTACTGAGCGCCTGCTGTGTGCCAGGCCCTGTGCTGGGGGCAGAGGAGGACCCGCGGGGTTTCTGCCCACTGGGGATCCGTGTTTGTTGGGATGGATTGTTATCAGTTTCCCTTACGGGACGGGATTGGCAGAGCAAGATGAAAGGGAAAAAGTATTTGTTCCTTCTCAGAACAGTTTCTGCCCTCCGGCCGCTTCCTGCTTTCTAAGCCAGAGCGGGTCAGAGGGCTGCGGAGTTGTATGAGAAAGAATCTGCGTCTCCTCGAAATAAACACGTTCCCAGGGGGCGGGGAGCTGGGGTCACGCCGGCTCGGGTGCCCTTCCTGCGGAGTAGAGGCTGCCTCGCTGCCCTGCTGCATTGTTCCCAACGACAGAACGCTGGACGTGGGGAGATTGTAAAAACCCGGAGCCCCTCCCGGACGGACCCCGGCCACGTGACTTGCTTGTCTGATGGGATATGAGCAAGCACAAGGCAGATACGTGTTGATGCTTTGGGGCTTGATCTCTCCTGCTGCTCTTGGGAGCCTGCGCCCACCACACACGAAAGAGCCTGGTGCAGCCCGGCCGGTGTGGCTCAGTGGTTGAACCAGGAGGTCACCTGTGAACCAGGAGGTCACGGTTCAATTCCCCAATCAGGGCACATGCCCCAGTTGCAGGCTCCATCCCCAGTGGGAGGCGTGCAGGAGGCAGCCGATCAATAATTCTCTCTCATCATAGATGTTTCTATCTCTTTCTCCTCTCTTCCTCTCTGAAATCAGTAAAAACATATCTAAAATAATAAATAAATAAATAAAAGAACCAAAATTGTTCGTTCCTTCCCTTTCTTGCCACTTTGCCTGGGACCTTCTTTAGCAGTTCTGCCTACACCTGAAAGCCATTGCTAACATCCCATCCCACTTCCACTCTCTCTAACACCTACCACCGTCCCCCTATATCTTCCATCTTACCTTATTGTCTGTCTCCCACACGGGGATACAGAATCCAGGACAGCAGGGGCTTTGCCAGTTTTACTCACCGCTGAGTCCCCAGTGCCTAGAATAAGTCTCGGCACGCAGAGGTGAATTGCTTAACAACACATAACATGACTGGTCTTCAGGGGGATCCCTGAACCCCCAGAAGTTGTAGGCACCTCATTGTGTGTACGTGGGATTTTTTGGAGAAAGGCACCCTGTGCTTTGCCGAATCTCAAAGGGGTGCACAAGGTTCCCTGGTGGTCTAGTGGTTAGGATTCGGCGCTCTCTCTCAAAGGGGTGCACAGACCCCACACGATGAGGAAGTGCCCTTGTCTGTGCCCTCTGTGAACCCGGCTCCCGCTGGGAGGCTGGCGGCTGCCAGGCCGGTGCAGTCTGAAGGCCCCCCCATTGGGGAAGTTCCGCTGGGCTCGCTGTGCTAGGGGCTCCGGGGGCTCCGAGCCGGCGGCGTTTCCTCTCTCCAGACCTGCCAAGAGCCCGTTTACCAAACCCCCCGCCCCCGGCAAGTCTTAGCTCACCATCCTTACCACCAGAGAAGAAGCGAGCATCCGAGTTCTCATCCACACACGTCCCTCCAGAGCACAATGAGAAGTGCTGTTCGGAGTTGGGCCCAGAATGACAACATACGGAAACCCACGCTTAGAAGAAACATAAACAAGACGCGGGGAGGTCACCTGGGGGGGGGGGGGGGAGCTTTTGTTTACAGCTGCGCTAAGCAGGGAGGAAAGCTGGATTCTCTTCCTAGCTAGGAATTTATATTTAAAGGGAAAGATTTAAATTCCTTCTCGGTGGAAGCCCTCTTTATGATATTTTCCAAAGCCCTCGGCAGCCAGGTTTCTGCTGCGTGTGCGTTGTCCACGTTTCTCCGCGTGCGAGAGAGGCCCCCACCCCTAGTAAAGCCACCGCCCGTCCCTCCACCACAGGAGCAGTCCTTCTGCGACCTCGGGGCCAAGTGCAAGGGGTCCCGGCACGAGGAGGTGATCCAGCGTCAGAAGAAGGCCTTATCCGAACTGCGGGTGCGAATCAAAGAACTCGAGAAGGCAGGCTCCTCCAGTGAGTGTCCCCCTTCCTCGGCTGCCTCTCAGCACGTGGAGCACGTGGGGGACTAGCGGGGCGGTGGGTGGGTGGGGAGGGCAGACTTTCCTGGAAAGATCATTCTTGGAGGTTGGGAGTGGAGGAACCATCTCCAGGTGAGTTCACTTTGGGAACTGACCCATTTGCCTGGACCACGGTCTCCTATCCCTGTCATTTCAAAACCAATGAAATGTTATGTTCATTATAATATTTATAGGATGTTCTAATACAATAAAAAGGGGGGGGGCAGACATGATCTCAGAGTCAAGGGCAGAACTTGCTATTAAATAAGTAGGGTTTCATGAAAAACCCATTCATTGTCCTACTTTTTCTCTTTTCACTGGGGCCTGGTAGAAACTTTCGCATGGACCAACACTATACAAGGATCGACCTTGGGGAACCTCCTAGAATTCCTGTCCAGAGGGGATAGGGCTCTCCGGGTGCTGAACTGGCTGCTGGGCGGAGCCCTGGGCAAGGACCCAGAAGGCTGGGTTCAAGTTCCATCCTGTTCCCGTGAGGCAGCCTCCCATTCGCTGTGTGACCTTGGACAAGATCCGGAAAGAGTAGCTGTGCTTATGGCATGCAATCACTGAGCCTTTCCTTCGAATCTAAATTCTTTTCTAGATGATAAGGTCCACCAGAATAAATCATTTCAAGACTTAAAGACTCTCAGAATGGAAAAGCACATCCAGAAAACGTTGGACGCAAAGCCCGATTGGCCAGTTCTCTCAAGAACGGAGATCCAAGCGGTAACCAAATCGAGTTTGTCTCTGCATGACTGACAGACGCGTGGAGAGGGCGGGCATGAGGGCCGACACGAGCTGTGTGCCCTGGCACGGCGGTGCGTATTGGGGGTCGGGGGCCAGGCCCTTCCCGATGGGCCATTGTCTGTCCCGACTGGTCAGTGCCTCATGTCCCAGCAGCCCCGGCTGAGAATGGAAAGGTGGCATCCGTGTGTGCCCTGTCTGGTGCTTCTGTGCATTGACATGGGGCCTGGTCAGCCTCTGGGGGACCCCGCTTTTCACATCGAGGGTATATTCTGCAGAATACATTCAACAGGCTCATCTCTGGCATTATGCCATGAGTCTGCCTGAAATTTGCTTTTTGCTGTAAACTGAGAAACATGAACACATGACAGGTAGCAGAGGGAGCCATGATTAAGAGGTCGCCATTCTGGAGTGAGAGAGACCTGTACCGGAACCCCGGTTCTGAATCCTGGTTGTGTGACCTTAAGGGAAGCCGTGAGCCTTTCTGGGCCTCCATGGCCCAGCTATAAAGTGATGACGAAACAAATGAAAGGAGGTGATTATGTAATGTGCTTATCCCACCACTTAGCTCACAGTGAACACTTAATAAATGATAGCTGTTATTATTATTCAACAGTAGTTAAACAGTATTATTCAAGAAAGCCTTCCTTTCTTAGGGGCCCTAGTTTTACTTGATAGGATTTTCAGAAGTAATTCTGTTGTTAAGTTGAAAGTGCCCTGTACCCTAAGTGGGTATTTGATTGACACATAAAGACGGGCAGCTCAGGTCAGTGTCAATCGCAGGAGCCACTGGGCGGGGCTTGCTGCCACAGTTGGGTCTAAGCCATACTCGGGCTTTGAGCAGGAATAATAGTCATCCTATATGTACAACCATTCTCCCCAACAGTTTTTCTAGACATTTGCGAGAGATGCGAGTCTTCAAAACTCTGTTGGTTTTCCTGGTAAGATCAAACGTTCTTTCTCCCAGGTGGGGAGCTCAGCCTGGCCCTGCTTCCAAGATTTCCCTTCCCCTTGGCAATGACCCCTGATCCCACCCCTGACACCACAGAGCACGCAACCTCCCACCTCTCTTAGAGGACCTTGGTCCTGCAAGGTTGGCGGTAATCAGAGTCAGAGGACGAGAAGCAGCAGGGGAAGGACAGCTGACATCTGTTATGTGCTGACTGGTGCCAGGCACTGAGCTAAGCCCTCTCTCTACACACGTTACCTCATTGAATCCTCACAGCCGCCTGTTGTCATCCCTGGCTTACAAGATAAGAAACCTCCAGGCTTCTGGAGGTCAAGTACCTCACCCAAGGTCACAGAGTGATGGATGATGCAGCCAGAGCCGTGTCCCTGGCAGTCCGCCTCTGGCACCCCACTGGACTGCCTGCACCCTGGAGCCCGGGCTCTTCCTTAGGTGACCTCCCCCAGGAGAAGGGGGGAGGGGGTCTGTAGGGAAAGCCGAGGCCGCAGCTCAGGGGAGGGGAGGACACTGAGCGGCATTTCAGGTTCTGTTTGCAGCAGGCCTACCCCGCTTAATGTCATTTTCAAACACCCTGTTATTCTCCTCCAATAAATATATAAATAAATGTCTCCACTCTTCTCTGTCACAGTCACTTTTGGGGCCTCCATGCTTTTATATTTTGGGGTGGGGGGGTATTTTTTTTTTTAATTGAGGTTTTACAGAGAGGAAGAGAGAGGGATAGAAAGCTAGAAACATCGATCAGCTGCCTCTTGCACACCCCTCACTAGGGATATGCCTGCAACCAAGGTACATGCCCTTGACTGGAATCAAACCTGGGACCTTTCAGTTCAATAGGCCAATGCTCTATCCACTGAGCCAAACCGATTTTGGCGGGGGTGGGTGTGTGTGTGTTAATCTCAGGCTTGCAGTATAGTGCCAACAAAGGCCGTGGGCTAAGCACAGAACACCCAGTTGCGTTTCTGAAGGAGATATAGGCCCTCTGTGGTCCTTCCCTGATCGGCCCGGTGGCTTTCCCAGGCAGGCGGTAGGGCCTTCCAGCAGCCAGCTGCTGACCAGGTCTCAGTGCGTGCGCAGCTCTGCGCTCCATCCCACACAGCCCCGGGAAGGGTCCGAAGGGACGCTCGCCCACCAGGCCCCGCACTGGGAGAACGGTGGGCCACATCTTGTGAGGGTGTAGCTTCCGCTGCACAAAAGTCAGATTCCTTTCATAAAAGGAGGAGAGCTGTTCTCATTTAACCTTCATTCATTCATTCGACAACACGCCCACGGAGTGCCACTCTGCCAGGGCCATGGCAGCACAGGAAACGGGAGAGGGAGCGAAAGCAGCACCATTCCCGCTTCCTGGGGGCTTGTCCTCAGGATCAGGGTTTCTCACATCAGTGCTGCCGATATTTGGGGCAAGGTGATTCTTCTTCTTTCTTTTTAAATATTTTTCATTGATTTCAGAGAGGAAGGGAGAGGGAGAGAGATAGAAACATCAATGATGAGAGAGAATCATTGGTTGCCTGCCTCCTGCATGCCCCCCACTGGGGACTGAGCCTGCAACCCAGGCATGTGCCCTGACCGGGAGCTGAACTATTGACCTCCTGGTTCATAGGTCGATGCTCAACCACTTGAGCCACGCCAGCCTGGCCACTCTTTGTCGTGGGCCGCCCTATGTGCTGTGGGGTGTGTAGCAGCATCCCTGCCCTCTCACCCACTGATGCCAGTAGCATCCGCCATCCCCAGGTTCAACAACCAACCATGTGCCCAGACACATGGTTGGGGGAGGGGAACCAGGGTGGCCAGGATCACCCCACATTGAGAACTGCCGGTCTAGACGGAAGACAATGACCAAAGAACAAGACAAGCGACGTATCGTTTCAAAGGGAGCTGCGCTCTGAAGGGTGGGGACACGGCTGCCAGAAAGCAGTTGGCAAAGGAATCAGACTAGAAGGTCAGGGACTGAAATCAAAATCTGAGCTGTTCTTGGCAACTACACAGCACTTCACCTCCTGGATGCAGACATCCGTCGTGGAACGCCAAGAGTTTTTAACTCTCTTTTCATTCCAGTCTCAAAATGGCTTTGCCAGCCTGGCCCCCGAGAAGCCGGGGAGAATGGACATGGCCGAGGCCTTGGATCTCAGTGAAAAGCTGGTACGTACAGCAAGCCAGCCTCCTGTCGGAACCCGGGGCCCCTGCAGTCCATGTGAACATGGGGTAGTGTCAACCCCAGCCCTGTGTGCACAGCTGGCGGTTACCATGGCTCTGCAGGACCCGCCCACGACCCCAGCGTGGGCCAGGCGGGCACAGCCAGCCTCCCTGAGAACCCGCCCGCAGAGTAAGGAGGGATGTTTATCACTGTTGTCACTTCCCCCCAGTTCTCCCCAAGGCAGAGTGTAAACGCACGTGGAGAAAATGAAAACTGTGCTAATCACCCTAATGGCACTCATTTCCCAAACGTGGGTTTGCCCGCCCCCCACCCCCACCCCCCCGCGATTGCCAGCAGCAAGGGAGTGAGCGTTAGGCGTGGCCAGCAGCCCTCCCGGCCCGGCCACTCACCGCGGCCGCCCTCCCCGCAGTACATGGACATGAGCAAGACGCTGGGCAGCCTGATGAACATCAAGGACATGGCGGGCCACGTGTCCATGAAGCACCTCTCCCCCAGAGAGCGGGAGCGGGTCAACCAGCTGCGGCAGAGGGACCTGGACCTGGTGTTCGACAAGATCACGCAGCTCAAGAGCCGGCTGGAGAGGAAGGAGGAGCTGCTGAGGGGATACGAGCAGGACATCGACCAGCTCAGGTACCGCGTCCCCCAGAGGTCGGGCCTCCGTGCCCCCGGCTCAGCCTCAGGGCAGGACCCCGACCTGGGGTGTGGGGCAGCTAAAATCCGGGGGGCCCTGGGGGGCAGGGCGATGACCTCAGCCTGGAAATGGCACAGCGGCCACCGGAGTGGGCAGGGTTCTCCACTCTCGGCTCTCTCTTAATGAGCGAGCTGCCCCTGCTGGCAATGAGTCCCAATTTCCAGCATTTGTGGACTTGCCCCAGCTCCATCACATCCTCGGGGACCGCAGGGGAAATTGGGGGGCTGCTCACACACCCTCTGCCCCCTCACGCTTCACTGATGCAGCCGATTCGCTATTTATTCCGCTCTCTGCTCCCCCAACGCTGTGTCCTTCTCTCCTGCGTGTGATGAGCACATGAGATGGCGCTGTGGGGGAGTATTTGGAAACACACACACACACACACACACACACCCCGGGTCGGGGCGTGGATGGGGGCTGAGAAGGGCGCGGGGAAAAGAGGCTTTGTCTCTCCCCTGCGCTCAGGCAGAGCACAGTGTCCGTTCAGATGTACCAGTCACAGGTGGCCAAGCTGGAGGACGATGTCTACAAGGGGGCCGAGGAGAAGGCGCTGCTGAAGGAGGCGCTGGAGCGCACGGAGCTGCAGCTGCGCCAGGAGAAGAGGGTCAACAGGGCCCGGCGGCAGCAGCAGGTGAGAGGCCCGGGTGCCAGAGCGAGGCTCCGAGGCCGCCCCTCCCCCGACAGACCGAGGTGCAGACCTGCGATCTGCCACTCACTGTGCGATCTCAGGCCAGTTTCTTAACTTCCCTCAAGCGCATCTGTGGTGTGTGTTTTAATATAGTGGCTGTTATTGGCATTTTCATTGTTCTGCCACGTCCTGAGGACAAATAGATGATTAAACTCTCTGAGAATAGAGATTTGGTTTCACTATTCTGATTGCCCAGAGCATAGGAGACACCCAATAAGTATTTGGTGGATGGATGATGTGTGGACAGGTGGATGGGGATGGATAGACAGGTGGGTGGGGATGGATGGACAGGTGGATGGATGATGGATGGACAGGTGGATGGATGATGGATGGACAGGTGGATGGATGATGGATGGACTGGACAGGTGGGTGGGGATGGATGGACAGGTGGATGGATGATGGATGGACAGGTGGATGGATGATGGATGGACTGGACAGGTGGGTGGGGATGGATGGACAGGTGGATGGGGATGGATTGATGTCCTTGAAGAACGTGTCCTCCATCCTACAAACCTTCCAGCCTGTAGGCTCCCTGCTGCAGCCCCGGAAATGAGAGCGGCTTTGAGGGAGCACTGATGTGGCGTCTGATGTTCGCCTCCCTGAGTTAAATTAAACATCACAGCCACTGTCTGCGGTGTCACGGGGCTGCCTCAGGCGGAGCAGTTTCCTTTCACACCAGCAATGCCAGGGAGAGCCGGGCTGGCAGAGCTCTGGCTCTTCCTTTGATGTGCCCTCTGGAGAGCTAACCCCTCTGAGGTGCCCCTCCCCCCGGGGCTTGGCAGGCTCCGTCCCAAAGCACCAGCCCACAGAATGGGACAGCAAAGGGCCCCAAAAAGGCCATTGTCGTGCACTGGCTAAAAATATAAGAAAACCCAGGGATTTACATAATCAAGCTTCACATGCATTATTCATGAGCTGCCTCTTTGTGCACAATGCAGGCACTGGACATCCATCCGTGGAGAGGGTCTGGGATGGCCAAGTTGAACCTGTGATGGGAGGGGGCCCCCGGAAGAGCTAGAGCCGGGAACATTCAGATGTACGGAATTCACAACTTAGGGGGAAATCTGTACGAAGCAGAGCCAAAAGCATGACAGCGCTGTTGGCATTGTTTGTTGAGTGCTTACCACACAGCGGGCACCTGCCCCACACAACATGTGCTTTCCCCTGTCCATCAGCCAGTCCATCTGAGAGAAGGGACACTGGCACTGACGGAGGGTCGTGTTGCCTGGCTACCCGATGCAGAAGCAGGGTTCCCACACACACGCAGCAGACCCAGAGCCACTGGCCGGTCCCTGGCCTCCCATAGCCCGCAGCCCCTCTGCCACCTCTTTCTGCTTGGCGAATGCAGCGAGGGCTCCGGCCCAGAAAAGGCCCAGACACTTTCAGTGAAGGGGTTCAGGCTGGGACTTCCCATAGGAAACGTGTAAACGCACAGAAGCTGCCCTCTGAGAAGCATTCCAGCCCTCTCTCAGTCCTCTCTCAGTGCTCCCTCAGGGCCCCCAGCGTGAGAGAGGCTGAAGGGCACTGACTGCCTCTGGCTGGGGAAGCAGCCCCCACTCTCCTGCCAATCAAATTTCCAGCCAATAGAACCCCGGCCAGGGGGCGTGGCCACAGCTTTGCCAGGTGGTCTCAGGAACCACCTCTCCTCTGCTTAGTTAGCTCAGATCCCTCATCTCTCTCTCTCTCTCTCTTTCTCTTTCTCTCTCTCTCTCTCTCTCTCTCTCTCTCTCTCTCTCTCTCTCTCTCTCTCTCTTTTTAGAACACTCATCTTTAAGATGAGAATAAAGATGGCACCGACCACATAGCATTTAATTCCATAAGAACATGCATACAAATCCCTTTGCACATGGGATCTCTCCACAGATGCTCTTATACCACCGTCATCGTTGTCATCGACATTCTTTTAACTCGCTGTTTTCCCGGATTTTCTTGGGCTCAGGTGTCCTCCAGATCCTGGTTCCCTCGGTGCCACTTGTGTGTTTTTGACCACGGGGTAGAAGTTGGTAGATGCTGTGTAGGATGTGAATGGGATGGGGCAGACGGTTGGAGGATGAAAAAGTAAAGATGTGGTTAGGATGGCCCAGGATAGGGCTAGAAGACCCTCCCCCCCCCCTCTTTGGCCCACCATCTTGAATCCTTGTGTCTCCCAGAACTCAGAGGTGTGTCCCAGAACGGGACAGGTCAGGACGCACTACACACTGTCTTGCTCACTGCTGTTTTCCCCCAGGAACGTTCAGAGGATTACGAACTGAGAAATTTGAAAGAATCAACATCTTGCAACTGCACCTTCAAAGAGAAAGAGAGGCAGGTATGGAGAGGGTTTCTGACCTCGCCCCAGACACAAAGCCCATGTGGTACTGTCACAGAGAGGGAGCTTATGGAGGTCAGTGCCATGGAGTGCTGCCTGGGGAACAGCCACACACGCGTCCCTTCCCCCCCCCCCCCTTTCCCCAGCCAGCTCCTGCCCCCTCCCCTGTTGGCCCTCCTCTACGCGTCCCCTGCCTGCAATCTAAACAAATGACCTAAGAGACAAGCCTCTAACCCAGTGTCTGGATGCGAGAGAGAGCAAAGGGAAGTTCAAATGTCGTTTTGGCTGATGGGGCAGCCGTCCTAGGCTCTACGTGATTTAGGGACTTGGAGACCAGGACATAAGAGAAGAAGAGAGGAGTGGGGAGCCCCAGGAGCCCTGCTCCAGGAGGGAAACAAGTGGGTAAAAGAAAGGCAACATGGAGCCAGGAATGAGGATGTGAGTGCCCGTTGTAGCCACCTCTGCCCACCACAGGGGACCTCGTTTGACTCTGTGCGGGCTCCCCGGTGCCAGCATGGATCGGAGCCCACGGTGTCCATGACACAAGAAGGATGTGACGCTCAGAAGGGTTCGCAGAGCCAAGACGACGCTGGGTCTCCCCACGGGGAGACACTGTGTGCGTAACGAACAGCATCCCTCAGAACAGCACTGCAAACGAGGTTGGCTGGGTTGCGTCTGAGAATAGCTTTGGAGGCAGAATGATGTCATCCCACAGCCCAGGGAGGCCAGGAAGTGGGCGTGCGGGGGCCGGGCTCTGCCCTTCGACGCTCAGCTGTCCACGGACAGGACCTAATCCAGAAAGAGATTTTGGAGCAATGTTCAAACTGGGGTTCCCTGGAGCCCATGGGTGCCGAGGAAGAGAATGACTCAATACACACACACACACACACACACACACCTCACTTCCACAAGAGAAGCTCTCCATTATCTGCTTTATATGCCACGTTCTTCCAGAGATTTTGCTTGGGTAAAGGGTTCTCCTACAACAACAAAAAGGAAGGAAGGAAGGAAGGAAAGATGTTGGGTTAAAAGCACTGCTTTATAACGCCTGGGAATTTGGATGTGACTGTGTTCTGAGCATAGCTCCTCTCCTCCGAGTTTGTGATAATTACTGAGTCACTGCAGGCTCAAAGCCTTCCCCACAGAAAAGGCCTGGAGGGCAACTGCTGACTAAGCACTGGCCTAAGCCGGCAGAGATGGGCCCCTGAGGCGAGCTAGCACAGTGGTCAGCAAACTCATTAGTCAACAGAGCCAAACATCAGCGGTACAACAATTGAAATTTCTTTTGAGAGCCGAAAACCGACTTCTGCCATGAAGTTTCAATCACACTGTACATGTGCACCCGCACATGGTATTTTGTGGAAGAGCCACACTCAAGGGGCCAAGGAGCCGCAGGTGGCTCTCGAGCCACAGTTTGCCGACCCCTGAGCTAGCACCTTCTGTGATGCACAGCAGCTGTGCCCATCCCAAAGGCCGGCTTCCTTCCTCCGAGAGTTTTGCGAATGCCCAATGGGGTTGCCAGAAGTAAAAGGGGGCGAAACAAAACAGGACGCCCAGTTAAACCTGAATTTCAGCTCAACACCACACGGTGATTCGTGTAAGCATGTCTCACATGGTGCACGGGATCTACATCCGCTGAAACATTCCTTGGTTTCTTTCTGAAGTTCAGACTGAGCTGGGCATCCTGTGTGTCCCCTGGCACAGCCTGCAGGGGTTCGCTGAGCACCAGGCCGGCGCCGGGGCAGGCTCCGTGGCGGATGCCACGAGGTGGCAGCCTGCAGATGTTCTCATTTGACTTATGGGATTTTTTTTTTTTTTTTAAGTAACATTTCAAAATACGGCCCTTCCAGGGAATACTCTGGATTCCTGGCTTCTCTGGGAACCGCAGGAGATGTGGTGACGCTAGGCCCACGGTCCACGGCCGCCACCTCCCAGGCCCCTTAGAAAGATGCTGGGCTTGTGGGTGCTGCACCCCACCCGCTCGCTTCACTCCCGTTACTTCCCTGGGCCCTGGGGGCGCCAGTGGGTGGCCCTCAGGGCTCTCTGAGAACAGCCCTTTCCCAGGCCCCTGCACGCCCACTTCCCGGGGGTCAGCCTGTGAGGGGGCCCCAGCTCGCTCTCCCAGGGGCTGCTGGCTCTTCAGTGAACTACCCCTGAGATGTGGGGTCTGGAGGAGACCAGGGCCAGTCACCACACCCCAGGGGAAGCTCCGGAGTGGCTGTCCCCGAAGAGGGCAGCTGCTGTGGCGTCAGCGCGCTTGGGGCCTGGGATTCCGGGGGGAACACACCGTAGAACCACGTCTACAGTCTCACCCGCGGGCCTGGAGGCCCTGCTTCCAGCTCAAGCCGTTGTCCTCCAAGAGGAGCACAGACAGGCTCCTCCCCTCTCAGGTGTCCCTGGAATGTGGACCGGAGACCCCTAACGGGCTCAGCAGGACAGGGTGGCACCGCCCACCCCAAAGCCAAGTCCCCTTCCGCAGGCCCACCCTGTCCCCCGCCCCCGTCCCCTGGAAGGCCCAGCATTCCATCCGATGGGTAGCATCTGAAGGGTGAGAAAAATCCTTTTTTTGTGTGTGTTTTTTCTCTGATGCAAAAGTCAAAGAAGGGCGTAGGCTAAACGCTGTCCCTGTTCTTTCTGCATTAAAGAGGCGGGTGTTTGTAGAGACGGTGAAGAACAAGATGCAGAACGCCGGACTGCAGGTGAGCCAGAAGCAGGAGAGAGGACACAGTGGGAGGTCAGCAGGAAGCCCAGCTGTCAGTGGCCCCACGTCTGTTAGGTATTTGAGCGTTTGGTACCTGCCAGGCGCAGAGCTGAGCGTCATCACGTTTGAGCTTCACAACCACCCAGTGCGGCGGGTATCGTTACTGTCCCGTTATCAGATGAGGTGGCTACGGCTCAGAGATTCTGAGTCACTTGTCTGGAGCGACACAGCCCAGCGGGAGAGCCGGAACTCAGTGCAGGGTCCACTCCCCAGTGAGCACTGCTTGCCTTCCTCGAGAAAATAAACGTCTGGGTAATTACATTTAGGCTGGCATTTCTCTTGAATTTCAAGAAAGCATCGTAGAAGACTCTTTTCTTAAAAGCTGGGAATCAAGACTATAAAATCCTAAACCTGCTGGCACATTGCCGCTCACAGTTCAGCCCAGGAACTGGAACTGACCCAGCCCACGCTCCGCTTTGCAGAGAATAGAAGCAAGCTCTCAGGAAGCTCACAAGCAGACACATGTTCACGGGATAGCAGAGGAGATATATTTGAGTTTGATAAAAGGCCACAGTCATCTTGAGACAACCACATTAACATGGGGGGGGGGGGGAGAATAGATAATCCTAGGTGAGGGGCATTTTTGGGAAATAGAAGTCTCTTCCCAGCCAACACCCTTGGTCTAAGCCTAGAAGGAGGGGACTCCCCGGAGCAGGATGTTAGGAGGGCAAAGCGCATCCGAGTCCTTTGCCACCTGCAAAGTGGGAGCGAGTGGGAGCCTCGTCACTTACTCATCGCACATATGGTCGAGCCCAGGAGCAGGCAGACACCGCCCTACAGCCAGGTTTGGTCTGAGGACCAACTGGGGATGTGAGATGACGGAGGAGACACGTGCTTCCTGAGACGGGAAGCCGCCTGGAATTCCAGGCCGCCTCTGGTCTTGGCAGAAGGTGGGTGGGTGGTGCAGGGGGTGTGAGCAGGCGATGGGGGTGTGAATAGGTGATGCAGTGGGTGTGAGCAGGCGATGGGGTGGGTGTGAGTAGGTGATTGGTTAGATGTGAGCAGGTGATGCGGTGGGTGTGAGCAGGCGATAGGGTGGGTGTGAGCAGGAGATGGGGTGGGTGTGAGTAGGCAATGGGGGTTTGTGAATAGGTGATGCAGTGGGTGTGAGCAGGCGATAGGGTGTGAATAGGAGATGTGGTCGGTGTGAGTAGGCGATGGGGGTGTGTGAATAGGTGATGCAGTGGGTGTGAGCAGGAGATGGAGTGGGTGTGAGTAGGTAATTGGTTAGATGTGAGCAGGTGACTCGGTGGATGTGAGCAGGCGATGGGGGGGTGAGTAGGTGATGCAGTGGGTGGGTGTGAGCAGGTGATTGGTTAGACATGAGTAGGTGATTGGTTAGACGTGAGCAGGTGATTGGTTAGATGTGAGCAGGTGATGCGGTGGATAGTGGTGCCTCAGCTGAGAGCAGACTGAGCTCCCCGGCCTCCAGGCCTCACGCAGAGGCTCCGTGTCTAGAACCTCCTCGGCACAGAACGGTTTCCTCCAGGCTCCTTGCAAAGTGTGGCTGGGGCGTCCTTCCTCCACAGAGCGCCCGGAGTCCTGGGGACATGGGGCCAACGAGAGCACCTTGAGAAGGGTGTGCAGGCTCCGGCTTTCAGGCCTGCCTCTCACTCAGGCCTCTCGCCTCTAGCCAACCTCAGGCCTGGCAGCTCCTCCTCTCTGAGATCCTGGGGGGAGGGGTTGCGTTCTGTCCTCCAAAACGCCATTCATGGGTTTGGTTTGATATTTATCGAGGCTAACTTTTATAATCACTGGCCAGTTGTATGCTAATGAGGACAATCTTCTCCCTAACAAACGTGGACTGAATGCCCAGTCTAGGCCACGCCTGTGCTGGGCCCTGGGGATGGGAAAGTAAACAGCCCCCATTCACTCAACAGCATTCCCCCAGAGCCTGTCCAGGTGCTGGATTTCCATCACGAATTCTCGAATTCTGGGTGGGGGCAGTATCGCCTTCAAGGGGGTAGAATTCCTTTCAGAGAATGTATAAAGCACAGGTGTGCAGGCAGTGCCATCTGTAATGTCAACATTTCACGGGTGTGGCAGTGACTAGGACAAATACCTAACGTGATGAAAAGCATGTCCCCCTGGGTGTCGCCATTTCACTGACTGGCTTCTGTCCACACCTTTTCATTCTATGGGTGAGCCCCGTGCTTCCGGGTCCAGGGAAGACCCTGCCAGTCTCCCCTGCCCTTCCTGCCCTCATCTGCATCTTCGGATTTCTCATCCCCCATCTCTGCTTCTTCCCAGGCGCCCATCCTGGCTGCCTTCTGCTGCCCGTCCCTCCCTCCCCCCTTGTCACTCAGAAAAGCGGACCAACCCCCAAACTCCCAGCAGATCTCCCAGTAGGGGACCCTGGACTGGGGACGCTTGACTTTTAACCAGCTCCCTAGCTCTAATCCCAACAGCTAGCCCCACGCCGGGTCAGGGCACTGGTGCTGGGGAACCACCACCCCCCCCCAGCACTTTTATTGAAAATTGAATAAAAGAGGATGTAAAGGAAAGGTGGTTTCCAGAGGAAAGTTCTCAACAGCTGCTGTCTGTTCTCATCTTACCGGCACTCAGGCCAAGGCACCCTCTGTGGGCAGAGACGTTAGCGCTTCTCACTCGGCGATGCTATTGATGGCGGTTGCACAGCACACCCAGGGCCCTGCCAGCCACCGCGCAGGCCTCTGGGAGGGATGCTCACCCCTGTCTGAAAGAGAAAAAGAGCTCAAGGGGGGGAGGGGGTCCAACGGCCCCTTCCCTTGAGATCTCCCCAGAGCCCCTCTCGGCCGCCACAGAAGACAGGGCGGGTATTCTGGTCCCTGATTGACAGATGAGGAAACCGAGGACCACAGTCGTAAGTGTCAAAGCTGAAATTCACCCACCCACAGCCCTCTTTCCCTGGGGCTGTTATGTCCTCACTGCAGAGTCAAAGCCTGCAGGAAGTAGGGCTGGAATGTGAAACCAGTTGTAAAGCTTGCAGGTTGCAATCTACCTACAGGAGGTGCAGAGCACAGAGAGAGAATCTTGGGCTGCAATGAATACAAACCTTTGCAGGCAGAGAAAAGGGGCTTTTATAAGGATACCAGAGTGAGTATCTCGTAAACATGGGAGAGCTGAGTCCTAGCTGGTTTAGCTCAGTGGAGAGAGCGTCAGCCTGTGGACTGAAGGGTCTGGAGTTCAATTCTGGTCATGGGTACATGCTCGGGTTGCAGACTCCATCCCCATTGGGGTGCATGCAGGAGGCAGCCAATCAATGATTCTCTTTCATCATTGATGTTTCTCTCTCTTCCAGTCTGAAATCAATTTTTTAAAATGTTATAAAAACAAAGAGCTGAAAGGGAGACTGGCCTCCTGTCTCTTACACACACACATACACACACACACACACACACACACACACACACACACTGCATCGTCTTTCCGTGTCTCTATTGGGCTATCTCCAATCATGTGATAGGAAGGGATGACCTCAAGGTCTCCCAGTTCAAAGGGAGCGAGTAACCTCTCAGAGCCCATTAACCCCAAATCCTGGGAGTGGTCCCCTTAAAGGCCCAGCCTGTGCCAAGTGTCCAGTCAGCTCTGACCAGGGCCAGGCCCACAACATGGCTTCCGGGAGTCGGGCAGCGCTTGGAGAAGGCTAAACGCAGTTCGATGAAAGCTTTTCAGAGAAAGACGCTCCCTCAAAGTGAATGTGCTCACCCGAAGAAGCTCCTGGTTTGCGAAACGAGTGTTAAAAGGGAGAATGTCACCTGTACACTGGAAGGGCGGACACCACAAAGCCTTCCGGATGCTCACCGTGGGCGGTGCGACAATGGCGGGTCATTTTCACTTCCTTTGCTAACATCTATGTGTAAATATACTGTTTGTTTCTTTAAGGGAAGATTTATTTTGAGTAAAAAAAAAAAAAAAAACATATTTAGGTGGAACGTTTGGGGATCTCGCTGCACTTATAGATTTAGCGCATTTATTTCTCTTGCTGGTTGAAGGCTAGAGCCAGAAAAGCCGCCCTAAAGACAGACCAAGGAAGAGAGACGCTGAAGAGAGAGTCCTCCAGCAAACCCAGCCGGAGCCTGCCAATCTCCAAGCCTGGCGGGAGGAGCTAGAAATGCCAGTGGCCGGCCTTGCAAGATCCTCTGTAAGTCAGTGTGGCTCTTCTGTGTCCAAATACTATGATGCTTTTGTAGGACGTTAAAGCGTGTTCCCTCGTGTATTGCTTTCGAGACTGGTATTTTGCACAATGCTATATTTTGTTCTGTTTTTCTCTTTCTTTTTGTTTCTTTTTGTTTTTCTTTTTTTTCTGCACAATGCTGTATTTTGGAGTGTGTGAGGTGAGGCATTCTTTATTAAAAATACTTATTAGAATAATGTATACATACATAGGTATGTGAAGAATATTAATTTGAAACCCAGACATACGGGTCTAGTAGATACAGTTATATGGCTCCACATGTGAGTCGTGATGCACCCAAATGTCACACCATCAAGGAGCTCCAAGAAACTCACAGTTAAGGAAACTCAAGACTGATACCAGGGCCACAGGCTAGAATGGTAACCTCAGGGCTGTGGTGAGTTTATTATAATAAATTTAGAATGCCAGTCAGTTTTGTCGCTCCATAACAGTGACTAACATTGATAAGGCACTCCGCAGTTTTCAAAATGCTTCTCATCGAACCCTCCCCAAGCCCTGGGAGGTAAATACTGTAGTGTTATTTCCCCATTGGACAGCTGAGGAAGCTGAGGCCCAGAGAGGTTAAGTGTCTTGTCTAAAATCACACAGCTAGTAAATTTAAGAGTTGGATCTGGAATCTGTGTTTCTAGATCCATCTCATTCTACCCATTCTGCTACACTAAGGTGGCCCCATAATTCAGGACAGACCAAGTTCCCAGTCACCAGAGGGCACACACTGGCCAAGTGGACAACATCCCTTTTTCATGGTGTGTGGAGAGACCTCCATTTTTCTTGCTCTGCTTCTCCCACGTTCTACCCCCTCTGCAGGCAGCCAGCCTCTTACCGGCTCTCTTGTATGGCCAGGACCGCCAAACAAAATGGGAGTAAGAGCCAGAAGTTATGAAAAAATATATATCATTTATTTTTTTTATTTTTCAAAAGCCATAATAAAAATAATTTGATATTTCAAAACCAAATGCATTCTTTATACTGATTAAAACTAGAGAAAAATTGTAGATTTTCTAGGCGTGATATTCCACCAAAGGTCCACCTAACCCAGGATTAGATTCTAAAGTCAGTGAGATAGGTATTACCTGATCTTAACAATTCTCCTGAAATTTCTGGAGCTTTACCATATCCCAGAATTCCAAGTCAGCACGTTTTCCTCCAGCATCTGAAGAGACCACTTGGGTAGGCAGTAGTCCAAGCAACTGGCTCATGTTTGGGACCCAAATTGTATTGGAAGAAAAATATCCTTGTTGGTTGAACATTTGAATTTGCCTAAGTTAAATGTAATGCCTATATGATTCTGTATATTTTAGGTCTTTCCAAGGGTGTGTTCATTTTTATCCTATGAACATTACAACTCATGATGGCAATTTCTTTTCTCCCTCCCTCCCCACAAAAAAACCTAGATAGCTGGTTAGAGGTCTCTCCAGCCACACGCTCCTTTTCCTGAGAATCTGCAACCCACCCTGTCCCCAAAAAGGCTTGCCTGCCTAATACTATTCTCTTGGCCACAGCTGGTTGGCAAAGCTAGACCAATCAGATTTCTCTTCGAATTCAAGCTGGGCCAATCAGCACCTCTGTTTTTAGTATTTGGAATTGGACTCTGGGATGTCACACAAGTCATTAGTGGTCCTGGAGCTGAGAATCTGATGCAGTTCCAGGGCTGGGATGGCCATTTCCTACCTTGTGTCTGGAACAAAGCCAGCCTTCAGAGAGAGAAGGCTGTGGTAGATATGCAATCATACAGACAAGAAACCAAGACCGCAGAGAGACAATGCAGCAGATACTACCATTCCCTTAGTTATCGCCTCCCTCTGCTGCATAAGCTGAAGGCTGGTCCCCTTGATTTCCCAGCCTCCCTTGCAGCTAGAGTTGGTCATGTGGTTCACTTCTGACCAATGACATGGCGAAGTGAAGGCCCTTGGGGAGGGTTTCTCTTTGGCAATAAGAGACACACCTTTGCTAGGAGAAAGCTTTTTGCCCTTTTTCCCTTTGCCATGTCTCCTTTTTGTCTCCCAGAGCTCAGACTTGTTGCTGGAGCAGCCATTTGGGGATCACGAGGCAGCAAGCAAGAGGCTAACGCCAGCCCCCAAGGACAACGGAACGGAAAGATGAGAAGGGCCTGGGGCCGCGTCCCTGTGCTCTGCACCCTGCCTGAACTGCCTACCTCTGTACTTTCTGTTGTGGAAGACAATAAATTTCTTCCTGTTTAAGCCACTGTAGTCGGGCGTACTTGTGGGACAAACCACTCAAAACGTAGTGAGTGAAAATAAAGCCATTATCTCACACGATTCCATGAGCCAAGGTGGGCACTTGTACTGAGCTGAGCTGGCTTGGCTGGCACTAGTTTGCATGCCTCATCACCGGCAGGCAAGTTGGATTAGATCAATGGTTAAATCACCTCCATCTGGGGTGATTTTGCCCCCGAGCGGACATCTGGCAATTTCTGGACACAATTTTTGTTCTTACAATTGGGGAGGGGGTGCTGAACATCCTACAGTGCGCAGTGTTCCCCACAACAAGCACAGATTTGAGCCAAAATTAGCAGTAGCGAGAATGAGAAACCACCGTCTAGAGAGGTTACATCTGGGACAGTCTATCTCTGCTTGGGGTGGTCTCCCATGATGCAGCTGGCTAAACCAGGCCCTTTCTTTCTTTCTCTTTTTTCTTTTTTTCTATTTTAATTTTATTTTACTGAATTCAGAGAGGAAGGGAGAAGGAGAGAGAAATAGAAACATCAATGACGAGAGAGAATTATTGATCAGTTGCCTCCTGCATGCCCCTCACTGCATGCAACCTGGGCATGTGCCTTGACCGGGAATCAAACCCATGACCTCCTGGTTCACAAGTCGACATTCAACCACTGAGCCATGCCGGCTGGGCTACACCAGGCTCTTTAGTGTGTGGTGGGCACAGGTTCCCAAGAGCAGCAGGGGAGATCAAGCCCCAAAGCATCAACACTTATGTGCCTTGTGTTTGCTTATATCCCATCAAACAAGCAAGTCACGTGGCTGGAGTCCGTTTGGGGAGGGGGCTCCAGATTTTTACAATCTACCCACGTCCAGTGTTCTGTCATTTGAAACTGACTGCAGTCCAACTGATACCGATGGAGAAAGTTGCCTTGATTCCTGATCACTTTCTTCTTCAGAAAGCCAGTGCCAATGCCTGCCCCAGAGTTCCCCTAGGACCCTTTGTGTCACTCAAAATTCTTTGATTGCAAACAACAGAAACCCCTGTGGCTAACTTAGGCAGAAAGGGAGTTTATAAGTGAGGATCCCTGGCCGGTGTGGCACAGTTGGTTGGGCGTCCTCCCGTGCACCGAAAGGTTAATGGTTCAATTCCTGGTCAGGGCACATGCTCAGGTTTCAGGCTGGATCCCTGGTAGGAGGTGTGCAGGAGGGAGCTGATAGGTGTGTTGCTCTCACATTGATGATTCTCTCTCTTTCTCTTTCTCTCTCAAAAAAAAAATTGATTAAAATCTTTTTTTTAAGAAAACACAATATTTTTATTTTTTAAATATATTTTATTGATTTTTCACAGGGAGAAAGAGAGAGGGATAGAGAGTTAGAAACATGGATGAGAGAGAATCATCAATCAGCTGCCTCTTGCACACACCCCACTGAGGATGTGCCCACAACCAAGGTACATGCCCTTGACTGGAATCGAACCTGGGACCTTTCAGTCCGCAGGCTGATGCTCTATCCACTGAGCAAAACCGGCTTTGGCAAGAAAACACAATATTTTTAAAGGAAAAAAAAGGAAAGGAGGAAAGTTAGAGAATCAAAGGGCAAGCAAATCTGAGGAGTCAGGACCATCAGAAACTGACTCTTCCCTCCCCTTTTTGCTTCAGCTGGTTTGAGTTTGTTAGTTGCTACCAAAATGCTCTCTACTCTGCTCCACAGCCCCCTCCGGGAAGCTACCAGAAACCTTTCCCCGGGGTTCTATCTCGGTCCAGCAAGGGACCCGCTGTCCCTAAACCCTCCCGGTCTCCTGATCCGCCAAGGAGCTAAGACAAACAGCTTCCTCCCACCTGCACCAATGGCAGCCTGTTTGGATGCCTGGATTCGTGACTTTGCAGATAAGGTGCCCTTCTCTGGAGACTTGGCAGCGCCCGCAGCTGCTGCTGTGGAAACCGGGCCTGAAGCGTCTGCAGAAAAACAGCTTCCAGATCGCATTCCAACGTGCACTCCCGGTAAGATGTGGGTGTCTCAGGAAAGAAAGCAGCGCCCTAAGGATGAGAGGAAACCCAAACCCGCCGGTGCTGATGGGCTCCTCTGCTCCGCCGAGGCCTCCGAAGCAGGAGTCAGGTCGCCGGGAGGGGAAACTATTTCAGCTTATCAGCTTGGTTGGCCTCTTTTCCATCAAGATGTGCCGCTTGCTTGCATCCGTCTGCTCAGTGTCCCAAGTTATTTTGGGCCGATGCATGACCTTATGTGCCTGCTTTTGTTTTTAAGCGTTTTTTCCTTGGCCTACCTGTTCCCCGGGACTCCATCACCCTGTCCTGTCCCACAGCGGGAGGTCCCAGCAGCCTCCTGGCCTTGATCTTCCTCTCGGCTTCAGCATATCGCTTTCATCCTAAGACCCTCAGATATCGGGGGCAGAACGCTTTATCTTCTGACTAATTGTGGTCTCCTCGTCGCAGGAGCTAGAGGTGCTCTTGGATAAGTCGCTTCTGTGGCTAAACCACCAGCCTTGGTTCATTCAGGCAACCAATACTGGGGACCTCCTCTGCACCAGGCACTCATGGGTACTAGACCTCAGGGCCTTGACCTTTGCTCCCCTTTCTTTTCCTGTTCGGACCTGCTGCTCTCCGGGAAAGGGGATCACCCGTTTTCTGGGTATGTTGCAGGGAGAGCGGGCCTTGGGCGTTCACATCCTGCTTTTTGGCTTTCTACGGGACCACTGCAGGGTATTCTGTAGTGAGAG